AAATCTAAGTCGAGAAAGCGATCGAGATGCTAGAGCGTGTGGTGGCTACTTAGAAGCAGACATTACGGAGTAGTAGTGTCAGGCACCCACGTAGGCACCCTTAGTGGGCACCCACATCTTCCAAAATACATCACACACTCATCTCCATCACAGACAGGGCGCTGACGCTGTCAAACACGTCACCCCAGGACCAGGGCGGGCATTATATATCTGTAGGGGAAGTCTGTTTCTCTAGAGGGTATTGGAGTAATCGATTGGCCCTTTTCTGCCCCGACTCCATAGCCAGACCTATTTCCGTCACCTTACTATCATAATGTAGGGTAACGAGCTGGCCTGCGAAGCTGTTTTCGGCGGGGATATGGATGCAATTCAAAAGTCACAAGGGCTCGCAGATTGACCGGAAATCATGATCTCAAGGTCTGCATACTATCTTTGCATACAAGGCAGCACAGAAATCTAAAGGGCGGACTTGGTGCGACCTGTCGTGTTGCGCTCAAACTTGAGCGCGATCGAAACGCTGTGCCCAAGCATGATTGGATCCCCCGATGCATCTCTAATCTCGATTGCCTGGTCAAATTTCCCTCCCGACAGGGCTTTGGCCAGTAGGCGCACATGCAGCCACTCAACACCCTCTTCCGGCAAAAGCTCTTTAGTCTCCAGGTTCAGCGCCAGCGTGGCAAACCAATACGGCTGCGACTTGCCCTTTTGGGCTGCCTTGTCCTTCTTGGGCGTCTCGGCCTTGTCCTGGTTCTGAAGCTGCTCTACCATCTCCTTGACCTCGGGCGCAAAGAGGTAGCGATCCATTTCGTAGGGTAGCAAGTCGGCGACAAAGGGCAGCGATTGCTGAGTGAGCTTCTCGCCTGTCTCGAGCCGCACCCACATGTCAAAGACACCCGGCGTAAAAATGCCCTTTTTGGGAACGTACATGGCCTTGGCGCGCAGGCTCGCGGCGTCCTTGCTCCAATCGCCGGGCGGGACGCTGAGGGTCCAGTTGTCGTCGGCATGGTCCCGGCTGAGGCGGTCAAAGTCGGGGTCGGGCACCGACGTCCCGCTCAGCTCGGCAGGCGTCTTGTACGCGGTCGGCAGAGTCAGGGACGAATCGAAGTCGTCAAAGTTGGCAAAGATCATGTAAGCGAGCAGTGGACGCCGAGACTTTTCGCGGTCGAACCAGGGCGCCGAGTCGAGGAGCGCGCCTTGCCATACGCTGACCTGAATGTTGGATATCATCTTGCCCTGTTTGACATCTTCGACGACAATCACGGCCGGGCCGGCGGAGCAGCGGTCGGGAAAGATGTGCTGCGAAGTGACTAGATGTGGCTGACCACGTTTCGAAGAAAATTTGGAAGCGGCAAAGGCCATACAGGATGCACTGTAGCCTCCGTTGACGACTGTGTATGCTTGTTAGTCGCTGCGGCCCAGTGCGGTCGAGAAGAAGGCGTATTGCCGACGTACCGTTGCCTATACAATATTGGGGATTGAAGTTGACTTTATATGTATTTGCATCTAATTCATCGAGTTGAACAGCATCGCCAAACTTGACGATCTCTGCGGTGGCCATGCTGCGGACGTTGCGGATTTATATTATCCAGGCGATGGAGCTTGCGCGACCGGGCTGCGACTTGAAAGTAGACACTTGATGCGGTAAGCAGGAGCCGAAGCGAGCGTGAATGCGTCTTTACGGGATGTTGTCTGCTTGGAGTGTAGTGGTGGAAAATAGCAGGATTATCCATGGCTGTGATAAACCGATAGATGCTCTTTGATGAGCCTCGGCTTTAGCCGACTGACCATCGAGCGGCTACTTGAGTGGTACCTCGGACGAACTTAGGCTGGGAGATCAATTATCAACAAGCTTATAGATGCTCCACATGACGCGGGGCAATTGGAAATGTCTGAATGTTGAAGCAACCCGAAGCGCCGCGAGATTTAACTAGTTCATTGAAATCGTAGACTGTATTTATGGACGGGCAAAGCACAATGGGTCAATTGTTCTTGTTCACAGTGACAGTGCTGTGGCATGGCGCTTGTCACGTCTATCACCACGCAGCGCTGTAATGAACAGAGTGACGCTGGCGTTGTTGGCACAGCCTCGATGTTTGGCGTAGCATGTCGAGTAAACGTCGTAGCTTTTCTCATTTCATATAAATGAGGACGGAAAATCGAATGCTAGGTGACAGAAACGACGCACTCTGCACCTGCGGGTCTCTTCTTAAAATGTGTGATTCGTGCTATTTTCCACTGAATCGTTATTTCCCTTGCATGCTGAACGACAATAAGCGCATGAGTTGCCGGACAGAGAGCAGCCGCGGCAAAGAGCTGGGAAATTGAGCAACAGGCAACAGGCCATGGAAGCGTGCGAGTCAGCCTTGAGTGAGTAGTAAAGACAGTTCAGGATCATCTCACGCGCGTCTCGCGAATTTGGCGCTCCAGCCAACGATGACGGCCGTCCAGCTCGTACCTTGCAGATAAGAACGCATCACTTGTGAGCAGCGGGTCAAAGCTTGGGCCACACCACGACAGGGATTGGGGGAGTATGACGGTGTTGACGAACAGCGCGATGGTACGGATACGAGTGGTGCGATTGTGGGAGCATTGTGGATGATGGCGTGGTGGAGCGTGAGACATGGGGATTTGCTGGACGACTCGGTCAATCGGTGCAGTCAGTGGCCACTGTCTGTCGTCATACTCAGCTGGCACGCAAGTGGACAAAAAAAATGGCCCATAACGAGAGTACTGAAGTTTAGCTACCTGTATTTAAATAATTCTTAAGAAACCCTAGAAAATGTCTATCTAGCTAAAATAAAGACGAGATCAAATTCTAGTGCCTAAATTATCTCTCGTAGCTTTTATTAACTTTTTAAAAAATTTCTATTATTTTCTATTCTATGCACCTTTCGTTAAGTATGATGCGGACACCTTGCGAGAATGGGCTAGCTTTTTTGTCACCCCCTTGGCTGGCACGGGGACAGCAGCGGCAGGGATCAGTTAGCATGTTTCGGCGCGTGAAGCCGATGGTGCACCTGTTGTCCTTCTTTCTGCGGGCTCTTGGGGTTAAAATCATGTCAATTTCGGGAAGATGATGCAGAAGGGTCTGCAACGACGCCGAATGCGGTGGAAGGGCAGGCGGATAAAGCGAGTGAAGCAATGGACGGAGATGACACGAGCGTCTATGACGAAGGATCGGCAACATGCTTGGTTCACAGCTTTCCATGCTTTGACGGGCACCGCTCGGAGGGTTTCGTGGGGCGATTCGAGACGGCCAAACGGCATTTGCGGGATTGAGACCGCGAAGACGCTGTAATGGGGTCGCGACGTGAATTGTTCCAGTACGAGAGAGACGAGACGGTGCATCAAACAATGGATGGCCGAGACAGTCGTGAGTGAACAGATGGTACGGTTGGAGCCCTGCAGCGACTTTCTTGAATCTGATCTAGTCTGTCACACTGTCTGGTGTGTCTCGTCTGTACCAGACGGGATGAGGCGCATTCCTGGGGGGATCCGTTAGGGATCGGCCTGGAGGTGAGACTGTGTGCTGCCAGTATGCGACTTACATTGTGCTGGTACATTGCAGAACCCCATTGTCGGCATGAGCGAGGTGAGAGGCAAACGATGATACTGCAACAGTGAAAGAGATCAAGGCTTGCTTGACGCTCGTTTGTTGCGTTGGTGGCAGCTGGCAACGTGTTTGATTTGGGGGCTGGCCTCTCGCGGCAACGCATCAACAGGACTGGGAGGTGCAGCGGCGCACTGCTGTTAGTGGGCTGCATGACGCCGACGACAACGAATGCTGGTTATGGTGATGTTTTAAAGAGGACAATGAGAGACAAAACCAAGACAAGAGTTACCGAGATATCGTCAGTAATATTACCTAGGACTGTAGGAATATGACTCTTATCGAACGCAGTGAGATACAACAACAGTCAGCACCTACAGCCGCCCGTAAGTCCAAGTCCACGAACTGAGACCCCTGTAGTCGTGCACTGCTCATATTACATTCCTCACGACAAAGAAGTATTGTAATAACGATATTATTGAACAATCAATTCGTCTATTTTTACTCTGACTTGTTCGTTCCTTTGCTCGTACGATTTTGTGACGGTCGCTGTTACTGTCTCGGTTCTATTTCTCCCCCTACTTCGACCTGGGCTTTTCTCCTTTGACAAATCCTTGATTGATTCCATTTCCTCCGATTTGACTAGTTATGTTCCACCACATGGCCCATCTAGCACAGCAAGCACAGCAACGGTTCCCCATTGCGTCCTACCTTCTCATCTAGTTGTACAGCTGTACTGGAGAGACGGTCACCAAGGCAGCGCTCCCTTGTATCGTCTGATTAGGCTAGAGGGTCTCGCGGTGGCACTTCTGGTCAGTAGCTATCGCACAACATCTATGTTGTTGCATCACAGTGGCTACTCGAGTTGTAGCCTGCAGGCTAACTGCTAACTAATTAGGTAGTTAGCGTGGTAGCCTATCGCCGTGTCGCCCAACAAAAGCCTCCAGACAAAAACATCCTAGAAATAAAAGGAACCCTGCAAGCCTTCTAATTCGCTCCCAACTACCTAGTAGGTAGCAAAGCAAATTACTCGCGTCGGTAGCCTCGCCCGCTTCGTTCCTCGCTCCACCCATGACGGCCTGCGCTGCCTCTCTCGACACTTTCAGCTCATCCCTTGGCGCCAATACTCACTGCATTATCGCCACGATCCTTACGACTCCCATTACGCCTTTTCTACTGGCTGCTCGGACTCCTCGCTCACAGCCCGCCAAAAGGTCCATAATCGTTCATTCGTCACTGATTCACTGGCAGCCATTGCATCCAGCACTGCCGCTGCTCCTCCCTGCTAATAATACACACCCGATTTGTCCGACCTTGCCAGCTGGAGACCTGCCTAATTGCGACATCCATTGTCTATCCTCTCTCCACACTGTCTGGCAACGCCGTCCGACCGCCGAGCTTCTTCTTCTTCTTTTCTTCTTTGTTTGCATTCCTTTCCCTCGCCTTGCTGCTTGCTCAGCTTGCTTCGACTTTGGCTGCGTAGCCTGCGCCAACTCCTCACCTCCTTCCCCCACAAATTCTTCATTTCCCGCACGGTCGCTGGACTTAACCCAACTCTGGTCCGCCAATTCTCCTATCCTTGGTCCTTCCGTAGACCCTAAACCGGAGGTTGCTGCACCCATCATGGACAGGTAAGTTTCCATCACCGGATCAATTCGCCACTCGCTACCACCCTCTACCACTTGGCCTCCGAGTCGTGTGTGCCTCATCCGCTCATTGCCTTTGTCTCTGCTTTTCTATCTTTTCATCCTATTTTCGCTCTCTGCCCGAAACCACCTGATCCAGACCCGCTGACTGTTGCGCCCGCCCAACTTGTCTAGCTTTATCCACGTTCCCGGCTGGTCGCAGCATCTTTCGCATCGGCCATCTTCGGGGCGCCCGTTGAGTGGCCATTTCCGCTCCCTTTCTTCCGTCTCGGCTACCAAACCGACACCGCCATCTCCCTCTCTCAAGCAACCCCTCAAGTCGTTCAAATCAACCTCGCAACTTCCCAAAATATCCCTTCCTGCTACCTTCCTCGACGATGAAATGAGTACTCTTCCCGACCCGCGAAGTCGGCGTGTCAGCAACGCCGAGGACCAAGAAATTGAAGCGAGTTCTCCAAGTCATCATCCCGACCTCAGCGACGAAATCGCCACCCTGAGCACAAAACTCATCAACGCCATCAACCACCAGACCGCACTCGATGACACCCTCAGCGCCACCCGCCAAGAGCTGCAGACTGCATACGGGCGCATACGCGAGCTGCAACAACAAAATGAGACGCAGCGCGAAATGATGGCCGGCGATGTCTGGATTCGCAAATCTACTGTCGAATCCGAGAAACGCATCATGAAGCTCAAAATTGACAATGAAGTCTCCAAACGTTTAGATACCGAGGCCGCCAAGAAGAAAATTGAGCAGGAGCTCGAGACCTTGACCACGGCCCTCTTCGAGGAGGCCAATAAAATGGTCATCCTTGCCAAGGAGGAGTCCAAGGATCGAGAAGACGCTGTTCAGCGCAAGAATGACCTGCTAAAAGCCCAGCTCCAAGAATCCCAAGTTTTGCTAGAAAACCAACAGACCCAATTGGCCGAGCTCAAGCGCGTCATGGAAACACTGTCCTCTCACGACGATCAACAAACAAACACCACCGCTCCATCCTCGCCGGGTCTCTCCAGACTAGACACCATTGCCAGCGACCGCCTGCCGCCTCCCGATTCCGCCACGGCCTCCCCGCTGCCCGATTCCTTCGCCCCCGCACCCCCTACGAGCTTCCAACACCTTATTCTTCCAGTCCTGCGCCATGATCTCGGTGCCTATGATGATTTCATTAATCTGGCGCATCAGTCCCACAAGCGAACTAGTAGTCGAATCTCTTCCGGCTCCATGGGTGGTCTGACTGCGCTTGGTCTCGGACTGGCTGGCTCTACCTCGAGCGGTCACATTTCGAACGCTTCCACCTCATCGCTCCCCCATCCGGCTTCTGCGGGTAGTGGCCCTTCATCACCCAACACCCCCGCTTCCTCGACTCAAGGAACGCCGAATCAGCAACTTCCAATTCCAGCGCTCAAGGAAACGAAATTCTACAAGCGCGTCGTTGTCGAAGACATTGAGCCCACGCTGCGACTCGATTCTGCCCCTGGTCTGTCATGGCTGGCTCGGCGCAGCGTCTTGACTGCTGTTACGGACGGCAGTCTCGTCGTTGAGCCAGTTCCCACCAATGTTACTTATGCACCCGCAGCCCGACCGCAGCTCTTCCCATGCGCCCTGTGTGGCGAAGCTCGCAAAGAGGAGCAATATTTGCGCAACCACCGCTTTCGCACTAGCGAATCGCCTTCTGCGCAACGATATCCTCTCTGCAATTATTGCCTCGCCCGTGTACGCTCGACTTGCGGCTTCCTGGGCTTCCTACGCATGGTCAAGGATGGCCACTGGCGCGCCGACAACGAGGACCACGAAAAGACGGCTTGGGAAGAAAGCGTGCGATTGCGCGAGCAAATGTTTTGGTCCCGCATAGGCGGTGGCGTCATTCCAGCTTCGCAAGCAGACTCGACGAATGATGAAGAGGGCCAGGCTTCCGTCGACAAAGTCCTCTCCACTACATTAGCAGTGCCCGCCATCTCGCCGGTCAATGGCCAGGCGGAGAAGGGTATTACTGAGAGCAAACCCGTATTCGACCACAAGTCACCCGCTCGAGAGCCTCGCACCCCGCCGGAGCAGACGGATACACCGACACCTGCCGACATGTACAGCGAAGAGCCCGAGCTACGCAAAGACGCTGATGTAGAAGCAGTGGCTCAGCAGCCTGTCATTGCCGAAAATTAAGAGGGCAATTCGATGGCTACGATTCGTCTCTAGCGAACAAGGCGATTGCCTAATCAGCGACGACGGTTTCAATATTTCTTTCAGACATTGTTTGTAATGTATATTGTGTATTATACGTACACCCAGGAGGACACATAGCCACGTTGATGGAACGCGCGAGGCTTTCCCATGTCGATTTATCCCTGCGCTGTTTATTAGTCTCTTTTCCTTTTTTCTTCTTGCGCGGCGCATTTCTGGGATGGCAGAGCAAGGGTTCTAACATGAAGATGATTTCTGCATTTTCGGCGTTACTTGTTGGTCTGGCTCTGTTTTGGGAATTTGGGGATAAGTATTTTAATCATCAGGTTCAGCAGTGGGAGAATTGGGGGTAAAACATGCTAGCACGGAACGTATAATTGCATTGCATTCACTATTATTTCATTCATCATTTTATTGTCTTTTTACTATACTTTACTCCGATGTGTGTTTTGAGCCTGCAACGAGTGCTAAAATCAACGGGACTTGAACTGCCTTGATTCGATGCAGATCTGTATGCATCTGTGTGCCTGTGCCAAACATGTTGCACGTCATATCCATCACTGGAAAAAAAGCCAATAGGAAATTCATCATCAACCTCGTGTAGATTGTATTATAATGAACATTCCTCCGATTCTGAACACAACCCGCAGTTCATACGGCAAGAAACGACATGTTAACAATAAAGTGACCGCGTACAATTATAGCTTTTTTTAATCTTCCCACTATTACATTTGAGAAAAAATCGACGTCTTTCAAAATTCATCATGCCAAAGGCTTTATGGGCTCTCTGGTAGCTTTTTTGAGTTTGGACGATTACAACTCGTCCTTGCGAGTAGCCTCCTTGCCCTCGCTGGCAGGCTTGGCCTTTGAGACCTCGGCCTCCTTCTCGCCGTCGCGGCTGGCGGCAAACTCCTTCGCCGCGCCCGCGTCCTTGCCAGCGGCAGTCTTCTCGTCCACGCCCTCGACATCGGGGTGTGGAGGGGCAACACCGGCGCCGCCGAGCTTGCCCTCCCCGCCATCCTCGGGAGCAGGGACCTCTACGCCATTGTCATCGACGACGCGCGTTTTTGTCTCGTACTTGGTCTCAAGATCAACCTTACCGCTGAGCTCGGCGACCTGCTCCTCGCTCAAGAGGTTTCCATCCTGATCACGGAACTCAACCTTCTCTTCCTTGGTGACAACTGAAGGTTCGACAGCGGGGGCAGTGACAGCGGTAGCGTTTAAGATTGCGCGACGTGCCTCAGCGTATTCCTCGTACTTGTCGTAGAATGTGTTGCAGTCAAAGTCCCAGTTGGAGAAGAGCTTGAGGGTGTTGCACTCGCCCTTGGTCCACTCGTTGCCGTAAGCCAGAGGGCTGTATAGAGCAAAGGCGGCAATGGCGAGAACCAGGAACAGAGACGTGGCAGCGCGGTTGATGACTGGCATGTTCTTGCCGAGTCCGCCGAAGCGAGCGGTAGCGAAGTCAAACAATTGGCTAAGAGCAATGACACCAAAGTAGAGGGCCGGGAAGTAGTGGTGGAGGAAGAGCTGACGCTTCATCAGGAAGAAGGGGAAGTAGTGCAGAGCCCAGCCTAGAATAGAGCTGCCCAATTCGTAGTCGAACCGCTTAATTGTAGGGTTAGAGTAGTCATTGCAGCTGCGCTGCCAGCGGAGAATGGCAATACCCTTGAAGGCAACCCAGATGGCAACGGTCAGAGTGACGGACCACCAGATAATGGGGTTGCCCAAAAGGTAGATTTGGGTGTGATTGCGGCCCCAGAAGTTGATACCGCGGCGAAGAATAGGCCAAGACTCAGGGCGGGAGTCCCAGGCATGAGAGTCGGTAAGGCCAGCGTTGGTCTTCCACATGACTTTGTGAAGCTCAATGAATTTGCCGAAGAAACCGGGCTTGCGATAGTTGACCTTTTCGGCATCCTCGCCAAGCTTGGGGTGCTCGTTGTGCTCAATGTACCACAAACTGTTGGGAAGACTGCCACCCTTGGCGCAGGTCACCTCCTGCTGCTCGGAGGCCCAGTCAGGCAGCTTGACTTTGTGGGAGAAGAGCACACAGCCAGTCATGAGATGAACGAGACGGAACTTGGTCTCGATGGTACGGAGACGCTCCTTGGCGATGGCACCGTCGGACTGCTTCTTGATAATCTCGACCCTGAAGTAATCGTTCGCATCACCCTCAAAGCCTTCATAACCATAAGCAGAAACCTCATTTTGCCACTCATGTTCAGAGACGGGAGGACGAACATCGTGGGAGTGAAGACGGCGAAAGGTAGGAATATGGAAGAGGCGAAGAACGGTGCCGTCTTTGATGTACTGAGGTTCAGGGAGGTTGTCCCAGGCGTGGGTTCCATTGATGGGCTCGCCATCGATTCCAAGCGGCTGGGTCTGGTTCTCGAGCAGCCAGATGTTGTTGTCGTCCTTGTGGGGATATAAGGTGATCTGTTGCTGCTTGGAGCCGGTAGGGTACATGAGAGGGTGGGAGTGCAGGTAGCCGCCCTGGGTGTTGACGTGGCGAATGGAGACGCGGCTGCCCAGCAGGACGTCGGCGGCAACATCGTTCATACCCTTGTGGTTGAGGGTAGCCTGGAATTCAGAGCTCATGAAGCCGTCGCCGTCACCGGGGTTAACGAGGCAGAGGAAGTGAATTGCAAACATGGCCATGTAGAAGACAGCGGGGATGACAATGAGGCCGAAAACACGGGCAGCGAAATGCTTGCCCCAGGTGGGAAGAGAGACATTCTTGTTATCGCCAAGGAGGACCCAGAGCTGGACGAGAGTCAAAGCACCAACCCAAGCGATGGTGAAAAGGCCAACCCACTTGATGCTGCCAGTGATGCCCAGTCCCAGACCCGTCATGACCAGCCAAAACCACCACGTAAAGCTGAAAGCCTTGGCAGGACCGAGCTCATGCTGGTTGGTGAAGCAGTTGAAGGCGAGGACGGTGAAGGCGGTAGCGGCGACGAGAGGAGCATCGAGGAGTATAAGGCGAGCCTGAGTAAGAAGACCATTTTCTGAGTAGTCAAGTGTTAGCGATTGTGCTTGCACTGGCGCGTAAGGCTTGGTGATACACACCAAAGATAATCAGGCCAGCACCCATGGCGGCAGTAAAAGTACGGCAACCGACGGCTTTGAGAGTCAGAAAGATGCAGGGAATGAGGAAAATACCGCAAAGAGCGGGATAGAGGCGCATGGCAACGTAGGGAACGCCCGGTTCCAGATAGTCCTTGCCAATGTCCTTGAAGTCAAAATCGCCGTTGAAGCCAGCGAGCCAGCCAGTCAAGGCAATGAGCATCTTAGCAAGGGGAGGGTGAACATCCATGAAAAACTTTCCCTTGATGTACTTGGAAGCGAAACCACCAAAGCTGGAGAAAAAGCGCAGTCAGTTTCGGTCGAGGAGTAGTCAGTCGATTGACGAGGGGAGCCGTAGGCTTACTGGACTTCGTCAAAGACAACGCTGGAAGGCTGCGAGATTCTGAAAATGCGCACCGCAGCGCCGACAATTGTCAGAGCAAGAAGCACGAGGTAGTCAGTGCCCGGGAGCAAGAAGATATCATTATCCTCTACACCATCCGACTTGTACGAAGTGGTGTCTTTTTTGGCCACAGCCTGGGATTTTGGTGGCAGGGGGCTTTTGCCCCGAGCCGAGCTTGGTCCGGCCATTGTAGCGTATGAACCTGCGGAGAGGCGAGTCAATCAAGACAATGGAATATTTCGATCGTATTCGAGGCGGTAACGTCAGGTTGAGTCGAAGAGAAGTGTGAGGAAATCGGTAAGGAAAGCTGAACGAGCGTGGTGAATGTAAACCTATACGGGCAGCGCCAAACAGGACCAAATTAAAAGAGGTACTGCTGATAAACAAAACCCCATCAAGAAGAGAAGATGATAGATGGAAAAGAACACGACGAGTCCGCAAGAAAGCAGAAAGCCGGGAGGGTGGAGATGAAGTCGGCGTAAGAAAGGGGGAGGGGAGGAGGAGGAAAAGAGGCGTTGGTGATGCAGCGCGCGCATCACGGAAAGGCTAAAGCTACGTTGGCCTGATGGGGCGAAGGTTTGCCTTGAGGCCCCTTGCTGGAGGTGCGCTGCTTTAACAGCTCTAGCTAGCGCAGCCTGATGGGGCAATGCTTCAGCGATGCTAGCGGCTGTTGTAGTGAGGAACTGAACTGAGCAGCGCTGAAAATGCCCTCTAAATCCGGCTTCAGTTTCCATATAAGGGCTCCCATGGACGCGAGGCGGGGCGGCTCGGCGCACTAAAGCGGGTGTATTCAGGGCCGCTTTAGATGGGAATTTGCCCGTGCCCTTCCCATGCCATGTAGCTCCCTTGTGATAGTCTGCCCTGGAAAATGTATAATCACGTCAACCGAGTAGTATACGCGTCAAACTGCACAGAGTCATGTATTGAATCTTTACATGTCAATTTGTTCTGTTGCTGATGTGACAGTCAACGACACTGCATCCCGCAACACCGGATGAAAACCACATCAGCCGCACATCAGGGGCGTTCTCGCCTCGCCTCGTGGATACGAGCTGGTTGCGCTTTGGGCCATAAATTGGCATAGGGACGTGCCAAATGTCCACTCCCCACGAATACAAGTTCATGGTTATTTATTTCGTAGGCAGTAATAACGCTCGACTCCGTGAGAAATTTTCGGCTGCACTTGAACATCATCAACTCCGCCCATCCGACACATCTTGGACGAATTGTTTCCCATGTCCATGAAAATCGGACCTAGCAAGGCGATCAGTACCTATTAGTTCTATTATGCCAGCGGCCCACTGTTAATAGTATCCGTATTAGTCTGTAGAGTTGTCTTGCCTCTAACTAACTAGTTATGTGCCCCTGGGTCAAACGCGAGTTCGAGAAAAACCCTGACTAAGCTTCCCCGGGTTAACCTACCACCGATTTTTCCTGGAGCCTCCTGCATCGAGCTCGCGCATCGCGAAATTTCCAAGACGCAGCCGTCAGCCATTCTGCGACTAGCCACCCAATCTCGTATCGCCACTTACAGGGCTTCCTGTCCTCATCATGGCTGCCAACGGGACCAACGGCGACTCGGCTGCCACCGTTGACGATATCAAACCCCCCGCCGGCGTTGTTCTGCCGCCTCGCGAAATTCGCAACATTCTCGAAAAGACTGCCGGCTACGTCGCGCGTAACGGCGCCGTCTTCGAGGACCGCATCCGCGACAAGGAGCAAACTAATTCCAAGTTTAGCTTCCTGAACCCTGAAGATGCCTACCACGGATACTACCAATGGCGCCTGACCGAGGTGCGCGCTGGACGAGGAACGGACGTTGCTGCCGGTCGCGCGGGAGAGGCTGCAAAAGAGCCCGAGAAGCCCCAAGGCCCTCCTAAGCCACCCGATTTTCAATTTTCGGCGCGTATGCCCAGGATCAATCAGAAAGATCTGGACATTATCCGCCTTACGGCCCTCTTCGTAGCCAAGAATGGACGTCAGTTCATGACGCAACTCGCGCAGCGCGAGGGTGGCAATCCGCAGTTCCAGTTTCTCATCCCCAACCACACGTTTCACAACTTTTTCCAACACATAATCGACCAATATACGAAATTATTACGAGCGGGCGGCCTAGGCGGCGAGGGCGGGAAGCTTCAGGAAGAGCAAATGGCCGAGCTCGAGAAGAACATTGCCGACAAATTCTACGTGCTCACACGCGCAAGGCAACGAGGCGAATACATCAAATTCCAGGAGCAGGAAAAGGCACAGAAGGAAGAGCAGGAACAAGAAGCCAAGGCAGAATTTGCGCGCATCGACTGGGGCGATTTTGTCGTTGTCGAGACCATCAATTTTACCGACGGCGACGAGACAGCCAATCTGCCGCCACCCACGAACCTCTCCGAGTTACAATACGCCTCGCTAGAGGACAGAAACAAGGCCTCCATCAGTGCCAACTTGCGCATTGAGGAGGCCATGCCTGGTGAAGAGCTGGAGCAAAACGGTTACTCTGCAGCTGCGCCAGCATCAGCGCCAGCCTATCCGCTACCAGCCTACCCTGGCTATGCTCAACACCACAATCAAGCACACTATCCGCCCCAGATACCTCAACCACCGCAAAAGTCCGCGCAAGAGCTCGACGAGGAGCGTAGAATACAGGAACGCGCCGAGGCCCAGGCTCGAATGCAGCAAGCTCAGAACGTGGCCCGTGGCGGTGCGCCTCCGATGAAGATTCGAGAAAATTACGTACCCGGAGCCCAAAAGGCTAAGAAGGTACAAACTGCAATGTGCCCGAATTGCAAGCAACAGATTCCTATCAATGAAATGGAGGAGCATATGAGAAGTAAGTCTTGGCCGCCGCAAAGCTATACAGCACGCGCTAATATGTTTTAGTTGAACTTTTGGATCCTCGATGGAAGGAACAAAAATCAAAGGCCGACGCCCGTCATGCCCCATCCAACATGTCACAGGTCGACGTGGCCAATAACCTGAAGCGACTCGCCAGCCAGCGTAGCGACGTCTTTGATCCCGTTACCGGTCAGGCCGTGTCCGAAGACGAACTTGCTCGAAGGAAAAAGGCTGCCATCAACAGCTTCGATGGCAATCCCGAGGGTCAGAGCCAGGCACACATGAGCCATTTGCAAGGCATGAACGTCGAGGAGCAAATTCGCGCTATTCACCAAAAGTTTGCAGACAAGAAGTAGCTCCAAGTATGGAGCGGCTTAGTAAGGTGCAAGTTTGGGATATTCGATATTTTATCACACGGGGACTTGACCAAATCTGAACTTGGGCAGTTTGGCGTTTTACTTTTTTTTCTTTTTTTTTTCTTTTTTTCATGGCATCTTGAAGGCGGCGAAAATTCACGTTTCTACAATGTATTAGGAGGGCAAGCGGGGAGAAGAGGGGCTGTGCTCAACGACTGAGCAGTGTAACGATAGCAGACAGCTGAGTGAATCCAACTAATACCTGGGCAGCAGAGTTTTATTCTGCCGGTATCTTATCCGCTTCTTCATCAATGTCACAACGTAGAGACTGTCAGGTGGGAGAGGTCTACTTACCTAGGCGAGGACGCATGATTGGTTGGGTGGGGATCTCACACTGGAAGCTGCAAGGAAAGTCAAGACACCCACCCCACCTGCAGCCGACACCGAATGACGCTCCTCTCCGCATCATCTGTACAGCTTCGGATCCAATCAAACTAAAGCGGCGCATACTCTTCTTTCTTCCTACAACCAGCTTCCGAAGCGCTCTTGACGTCGCCCGATCTCTTTGGCAGTGGACGGTGCATAGAAGAGCGAGACCGCAACGACCAACGAGACAAATCGTACCAACTACCGTTGCGCCAGGCCATCCACGAGCGCGTGCCACAACTTGGGGCGCTTGCCGTTGCCCAGACGTTGAGTTCCAGTTTCATTTTCAAAACCGCCAAACTGTCGGGCCATCAGATTGCCGGCTCGGGCGCCGGCTCAAACCAGCCCTCTGCTTCCTCCCCTCCGACCGGTACCTCGCCGCCCCCCAAGAGCCCCGATCTGCACCGGCCAATCATGCAAGCTTTGCCCGATCACCGCCAGCAGAGCTTCGACGAGATCTACGGCCCGCCAGAGAACTTTCTCGAGATTGAGGTGAGACGGGCATTCCGCACCTTGCAGCTCGCTTACTCCCGCGGGCAGCATTCGAAACAGGAAGAATAAGCTCCTTGACTGACCCCAAACGAACGAAAACAGGTCCGCAATCCGCGAACGCACGGCATGGGACGCTCCATGTACACCGACTACGAGATTCAGTGCCGCACCAACATCCCCGCCTTTAAGCTGCGCCAGAGCTCAGTCCGCCGCCGCTACTCAGACTTTGAGTACTTTCGCGACATTCTCGAGCGCGAAAGCGCCCGCGTGACCATTCCGCCCTTGCCCGGCAAGGTCTTTACGAACCGCTTCAGCGACGACGTGATTGAGGGGCGACGCGCGGGCCTGGAAAAATTCCTCAAAATTGTGGTGGGACATCCGCTGCTGCAGACGGGCAGTAAGGTACTCGCTGCTTTCGTACAGGGTACGTGATGAACGGAACTTGACGAGAACTCGAGGGGGATGGACTCGGCAGGGAGTCGATACTAACATTGTTACAGACCCTAATTGGGACCGAAACGCTTGGTGAAGATGGAGCGGGAAAGAGGTGGAAATGAAGGAAGCTGGGATGTTTCCTTTTGTCGGCTTAACATTTATTAACACGAAGCTCAGGTTGACATTAGCCAAGCAAGGTCATTGCTCATATTTAATCTAAATGTTTCTACAAGGTGCATTGCGTTTGGTATGTCACTGGCCTGGTCTGGAGTTCTTCTGGCCATCGTTTCGCCGTCTTCTCTGCCGGGATAGAACGTGGAGTACTTTTGTGAAAGAAAGAACGTAAAGCGGAGGACACTACCACGTTGCATCGTAGCAAAACTGAGAATCACGACCATGGCGATTTTACGTTCAAAAGAAAATTCAATTCGCGCATCATGGTGGTTGGGTCAGCATTGTTAGTAAAGCGGCTCCCCGCAAGTAACGCGATGGTGATTATCAGTAGCACTCAGAGGTAGAATGCTCTTCGAAGAAAGAGACATGAATGGGATTGGACTTGGTGAAATGTCAATTTAAGCCGAAATCGCCCTAAAGTATCTGCATCCCTAATCGTGTTGCGCCTCTGCGCCATTTGTGCGGTTGTGACAGCCTCAGGTTTAACGCAAGTGGGCTCATTAATGACTTGCCTCATTTCTTCAACAACATCAGCACACAACCACCCAATTCCCATCACCCACCTTCACGAGCACCGACCCTACCAAACAGAGTCACAGTACACCCTCCTCTGCGGATACCCGCATCCAACATACTCATCACCAACAGCCTGCTGCACCCGCCCCCTCCCCGTCGCTGCCGCCCGCCATGAACTGTCACACGGCATCGAGGACAGCGGGCCGAGCTCTCTCCTCTCACGCACGAACATGGAGAGCTGGGGCATGCTTTCCACTGCTGTCCCGGCCCATTGCCCACTCCACGTCGCGCCTAGACAAATGCTGTGCGTCAAAGAAGAAGCCGGTGCCGCAGGGCGGCGCGCAGCCTGCACCATCGATAGGCTTCTGGTCATCCCGGCCGACGTGGCACAGGGCGTCGCTCAACACGCTCCGTTGCCTCGTCGGGTGCACGACAGGCGATTTCAGCGCCATGTGGCTGCTCCAGACTCACTACCCGGAGCTGGGCATGCCCGCCATCATGGGCATCTCTAGTACGTATTTCTGTCTCTTCAATCACGAACAAGACTCTGCATGACATGTTTGCTAACGATGTGATTCTTATAGTGGCGGCTGGCATATCTACATCCATGGTTCTTGAGACTGTGCTGCTCCGGCTCGGCCGCGACGGCTTGTCCTGGCCGGCGGCCGCAAAGACGGCGGCGGGCATGAGCCTCATCTCCATGGTCACGATGGAACTGGCTGAAAACATGGTTGATTACTCTTTGACGGGCGGCGCGGTGGCGTTTGACTCGCCCGCATTTTGGCTCTCGGCGCTCGTGTCCATGGGTGCAGGATTCCTAGCGCCGCTGCCGTACAACTACCACCGACTGAGAAAGTATGGCAAGGCGTGTCACTGAAAAGCCGGCTTTTATATGTAACGATGTTGCTGTATGATAGAGGTATCTGATGAGGCATCGCACAAGTTTACCACGGCCTCGCAGCATTTAATGAACGTCTGTCTGTTTCCCATTCCTCGACCGTGTCTGCGCATGTTTGCTACGTCTGCACGGTGGAAGAGATTGCGCCATTCTGCGTAAGCACTGACACCAATATACAGATTATCGCGATATCGTCATGAACTACTATACCAACTCTGCAGGCCCGGCACGGTCTGCGCCGCCGCAAACACCACCGCACCACGTTAGTCTTCAGAATCTGGAGCTGACCTTGGCGGCGTTGCAGCTCGGCGATCAGCTCGTTTACGAGTCTCAAACACAGAGCTACCGATTCGCCCTCTTCAGGTTCCGCAGACACGACGGGTCGAGGATCGCCCTCAAGGTCCAGCAACAGTGGCCGATAGCCACACACCCCGACAATGTGCAAAATATGGTGCGGCGCGAGCTCTACGCGCTGAAGAAGCTGGAAAGCATCCATTTTCGGTACGCGCCAAAGTGCATCGCGTTTGATCTCTCGTTCAACAATCCGATTCGGATGCCGTTCCTGGTGGTGACGTGGACCGAGGGCGAGCCGCTGGCGTGGACAACCCACTATCCGCCGATGGATATGCGCATGCGGGTGCTGAACCAGCTTTTCCAAATACAGCTGGAGCTCATTGAGGATTCGCTAGAAAGCTGTGAGTACTCGGCGCAACCCGGTGGATACCGAATAGTTGAGTGGGAGATGGCTAACCAACATGGTAGGTAATGAGACGGCTAGACACTTTTACTCGCGACTCATTCATGACAAGTTGATGATTGCGCCTCGAGGACCGCCCGGCCTCGGCAGCATACCCACACAAGAAGACTACTGGAGCCAACTGGCGCAGCTCGAATGTGTTCTCGGCTCGGCCCAAGACGATAAGACCTATGCCATTGCTCACAATAACCTTGTGCCCGAGAATATCATCGTCGACAGAGAGCACAATATCGAATGGTACGATGCCGCCAGTCTGCACCTCTTTGTCTATTCCCTCTGCTAATACCCATATAGCCTCGTCGGCTGGAGCTTTGGTGGTCTGTACCCGCTCAGCCAGGCCGCCATCCTGCCTCGCTTCCTCGCGCCCGCCATCGGCATCGAGGATGCTGCCTCGGCGCGGCAGATTGCGCACGCCGCCGTCGGCGACAAGATTCAGTACCGCCACCCGCTCAACCTGTACAACATGGCCCCGACGCCGGGCAGACAGGCCATGGTGAGGTGGCAAAACGGCGACGACGCCGACTTTCGCGCCCTCTACCTGCTGTCAATGAAGCACAGGGACATCCACGCGTGGCTGGCCCGGCACCGCTGGCGGCCGCCGCACTGTCAGGCGTGGCGCGACGTGGGGAGGATGCCGCAGCCGCAGCCCCGGCCGGTGTCAGTGCCGGCGGTGCCGAGTGAGCACAAGCGCGAAGGCGAGACGGGGCGGTTGCAGTAAATGGGTTTGTAATGAGATGTGATGTAAATTTACTTGGTGGTTTTTACGACCTCCTCGCCGCCCAATGCGCCGAGAGATTGACCGACGAGATGTGCGGACCCTGTAATGAGAATCTGGAGTTGGGTTTCTGGAGAGCCTTTTTGCAGACCTTTGACCATGTCGATGGCCACATTGGCCGTAATGGCGTAGCGAACCGGTGCTCGTAAACCTTTTGTCTGCCAAATTTTGAGCTGCTCTTTGCCGACCGATTTCACTTCGGAAATGCCTGTCTTTGTTTGAAATATTGTTCTGAAACAGTTAGTTGTACACATACCATAGCGGCTATGTGATGATGGAATGATTTCATCAAACGCCAAGTCGTGCTGCAAAGCAGACTTCAACAGCGCAGACTTCAACAGCACGACCACGAGACGTTCTGTGCTGCGGTCGTACGAGTGGCCAAAAATCGGAACCCGTCAACGAGGACTGCTTGTGCGCAGCGTTGAGGAACGAGTGCATGCCGTCAAAGGGCAGTTTGAGAAAGCCTACGGTTTGGTCCTCGGCATGTATAGTCATGACCAAGCTTTGAGCACTCTTCATCGGTTCGCCAAGACGATCCCCGAGGTGATGCCTCCTCCAAACCGGGTAATATATGCCGAGTAACACTCTTGCTAATGACGACATCTGGCGAAGGCACAGGATCGAGATAAACACCAAGGAGGCTCAAGGTGCATGCAAACGCTTCAACCTTGCTCTCGCTGCTGGTGTATGCCGCACTTTCGTCGTCAGTTTCTGATTTTTTCTCAAAAGTCGAAATACTGCTGAAACAGCCTGGAGTTTGGGTCCGATAACTCGAGGTGTCGACCTTTGAGGCAAAAGTCTCCCAGGGCTCGGATCTTGTTGATGAAGATTCCTGACACGGCCAGCTCGTTTCCCTTGAATGGAATATTCAACGGCCATCGAGCCAGGTGCGTTGAAAAGATCGTCATGAACCACTCCGTGAAGACCCAAGCAACGCCGAAGTTGTGTTGAATGCCAATTAGGCTCCCAAGATGGGCCTTGAAAAGGTCGATGTGGCACATGTGACGCTCCCGAGCCGGGATGGTCTCTTTGCGCAAGGGTACAGAGCCCCAGAAATGCCAAATCGTTGTAGAGACGAGCATGCGTTTTGACAGAGATGCTGAAAATTTTATCTGGTTCCAAGTCGTATCGAATCGGATTGCCGGAAGCCTCTTCCAGGCTGCAAAGACCGAGTAATCCGTAGACCTGGTCATGCGCCATAGTAGCTCGGGTTGAATGCAAGTTCTTCAATAGCCATAGGAGGCTCCGGGCCATCGCAGAGCGTTTTCTTTGGTTGTCTTAGAGCCAGGGTTGGCCTAATTGAGCCAATAGTTACAACATTGAGTATCTTCATGTCCTTTGGTCGAGCGACCAGTGCGCTGGTCGCGAGGTCGACTCCACTGAATCGTTCGTCCATAGTCATCACATTTGAGCCGCAAAGAAAAACTGCTTCCTTTGGAATGACTGCTTCTTGAACAACCCATCTCCTGTGAAACTAATCGCACGCTAGAAGACGTTTGAGAGCGTCCCAGCCGAGGGGGATCGAACAATGTCTAAAGCTGATTGTCGCTGATGTTTGACTCAGCCTTGACAATCCGACGGAGATAATGAACGACACAGAGAAGATGGCTGTCTGACTCATTGATCTAGATAATAACCTTTTTCGCCTGTGAATATATGCATCGCATAAGCGAGACTTGAGATGCCTTCTCGCCCGCGTTAGATATTGGTAATGATAATTTTATAATAGTTTTTTTTAAAAAGATTAGTAAGATACTTTTAATAGAATAAAATACTTAAATTTAAATTTAAAACCTAAAAATATAACGTTTAATTAAATTATTTATATAATTTAATTTAATTAAATAAAGATTATATATAAAATTATCATTTAAAATTATTATTTAAAATTAAAAAAACTATTATATCTAGAAGAAACTACTTAAATATTTAATAAGTAATATATATATATATAATAAAAATCTAAGAATATCCTTAATATTTATTAATTATTTTTTTAATATCTTAAATTTCTATTATATTTGATATTATAATGAAACTTATATATTATAGAAGGAGATATGCATGAAAAAGTAGCTATAGGGCTATAGTAGCTACCAACCCTCTAGCACCTAATAACGAACCGCTAGGGGTGTAGCACGTGCATTTACACTCTTATAGCCCCCAGGCCACTTCGTCTGTTCACGAGCCCCCCTTTTCCGCCTTCCGCCGATCGCCGATCGCCTAACTCTCTCTCCGCTTTACTTTTAGTTAGCAGCTAACGGCAATTGTATAGATTGTCGAGATGAAAGCCATTATCCTTCTCGCTTGTGCCAGACTAGTCACCGCTCAATCCCCCCCCGATATCTCTGATGTACCCCAATGTGCTGTACGCTTCTTACTCTACTCCGGAAAGATGCCACCCTGCAGGTCACTGACGCTCACAGATCACATGTCTTCTGCCTGCGCTGAGCTCGACTGGTTGCTCTCTGACCGACTTGACCTGCGCCTGCTTGCCAAAGAACCGGGACAAAATAAAGAGCCAGGCCCGGCCTTGTATTGAGAAGTCCTGTTCCAAGGACGATCTTTCAAAAGCCTTCGATGCCAGCGACTCGCTCTGCGGCACCAGTGCTTCCCAGAGCCTCACGACACACCCTGACACTTCCACAAGTGCAGTCACCGATACACCCACTAGCAAGTCCAACCCAGCTGCCACTACCTCAGAAATCGCAAGTTCGGGGTCCGAGTCGATCACCACTACCTCAGAACACGGAGCTTCAGCATCCAGGTCGGCTTCCACTACATCAACGAGCAGAGATCCATCAGGGTCCCTGTCGGCCACTTCCACGTCCAGCACTGGCGGCAGTGGCAACTCAGAGCCACATCTCTCTACTACGCTGCCGACTACCACTGGCCAATCAAACTCCAGTGATGGCGGCGGCCTTTCCAAAGGCGCCACAGCAGGCATCGGTGTTGGCGCTGGGCTAGGCGGAATCGCCGTAATTACTGGTCTTGCTTCGTTCTTTTACGTACGGGGCAAAAAGGCTGGCAAAAGGAGTCGAGATGTGGAGGAAACAACCGACCATCAGAATTCAACATTCAACTCTATACCACCACCAAAGCAATTTTCGGAAGTACAAGGAAATCCCGTGGCAGAGCTGCCTTGAGGATCTTGGCTAGACTGATTTATCATCTTGTCAGCTCTTGGCGCAAAGTTCGAGAAACATCTTCTCTTTATACTAAAAACTCTTTCATAGTTAGGCCTAGGTTCATTAGAGCCCAGTGCAGAACACCGCTACACTACTACTATAAGAAAAATATTCGGGACGATCCTACTAACGCAGTCCAGCACAACTGTAGTACAGTAGAATAGAAACCAGGAGCAATGGGGGTAGAGTTGGAATTTCGCGACCGAGGATGAAGTTGCATAGATTAGCAGGCCTACTACTAGCGGTGCAGGGTAATGGGATTATATATCTTGGGTATTCTTCAACTTGCCTTGACAATTATTCACGACCCTGATCCTCCTGTCTGCAAAGCGAGAAAACAATCATCAATAGAAGAACCCCAGGCATGCAAGGCATGAGTCGCCTGAGGCTGGTTGATACCTCACTATAATGATGCATACACTCGCGAGGTTACAGTAACAACGCTGGAGGCCTGTCCGCCCACAGCGAGTCACGATCCTTCAAAGTCGGCACCCTGCTTGGCGTCGCTGGCGATGAAGTATTCGACCTGGCACTGGAAAAGTTGTCTTCTAAAACCGCTCTGGCAAGCACGTCAATGTCACTAATGCAACGCATGGAGCCGCGGCTATTGTCGAGCAGCAGCAGCAGCAGCAGTGCGATATGACACTCAGCTGCACATCGGTCGCGACGCGGCTACGGCTTGCTTGGTACGCCGTATGCTGAAATTTGACGCCGATTCGCATGCGTCACAGATGCTCCCTACAAAAGACTCGAGTTACAGTTCACCGACTGTCCTTGGTCTTGGCTTGCCGTAAAAAAAAAGCGGTGACGAGGGGCGCATTTCAGGTTTCTCGTCGAGCGCGGCGCCAGCGCCGATGCATTTGCCGAGCAGACAGAGAGCTGGGAAATCTGCCGTCTTCACATTGGTGCCAAGATTGACAGTAGTTGCGTGGCTTCTGCCGCGGCCTGACCAGGGTTGCCTTGCTCCGTCGCTTCTCAAGACGCCACGCTGCCACCGCCGCGGACCGAGCATCTGCAAAGTTCCTTGCGGTACAACGGCTTCTAATCTCACGGGAACTCTATTCGTAGTCTGCAGAGCGGAAGGGCGAGGGGCAAGTGCTCCATGGCTGTGACTATACTACGAGGATATGCCGATATGGCAGAGAGATTCTGAGACTTGGGGCAGACACTTACGGCAAAGAGCTCTAGCCGTCTGATACTGTCAAGTTTGGTCACACTCCGATTTTTGAGATAACGGGCTGACGTTTCGAGGGCGGCCACGGGCATCCCACATCACGTTATGAACGGCGGAGCGCTAGATCTTAGATTTAGATCGATCCATAATAAAGTGGATGAATTATACATTGATTAATCTATTGAACCAAGTAACTATGAAAACATAAAACATGATTTTGATCTTGTTTGCGACAAATTGCTGTGCGCCCGCTCTTGTCTGCCAATACCACACCTAAACAACGCCACTCAAAACAATCGCCTAGGAAAGAAAGAAAACGCGAAAAAAAAAAGCACAATCTATTTTTCTTCGACTGAGATTACAGCCGCCGATTCGCCGACGCATGCTTTCGCCAGTCAAAATCGGTAAAAGCCGGAAGCTTCTTCAAGTGGTTGTATATCCTGGCAACGTGCTGCAGGCCAGCCATGTCGACGCCGTACGCCACGGCCTGCTCCATGGCCGGCACAAGACAGACGTCGGCGAGCGTGATGGCGTCTCCCACGGTGTACAGACAAGTCTTTGCGTCGGCCCCGCGCGCCGACTCGAGCAGCTGCTGGTACGAGGCGAGCACGCGACGAAAGGCCACGGTTGCGCGCTGATGCTGCTCCTCGAAGCCGTGGCCCGTGACGCTGGCTCGATTGGAGACTGCGTTGCTGCTGCCGCCGGCGGAGAACTGCTGCTGCTGCTCGACGACGTCGACGGCAATGATGTTGACAAAGTCGCGGACGAGCGCGCGGGCCCGGGACGACTGGCTGGCGGAGGAGGGGAGGAGGGGGCAGGTGTCGGGGAAGCGCTCCTCAAAGTATTCGAGAATGTCGACGGCTTGGCGGATGGCGGTGGACGTGCCGTCGCTGTGGGTTACGATGAGGGTAGGGACGTGGGCGGCGCTGCGGGACGAGTCGTTGCTGATGTGCTTGGTGTCGTCGCGGAGATCGAGGTACAGCATGGTGAGAGGGATGGATTTGAGATGGGCGGCTATCCTGATTCGTTGACAGGACGAGGATGAAAAGAAGGTGTGTAGGCAGTATGATTCGCCGGCCATCATGGCAGTATCTGGCTTTCTCATGTTGAAGATTAAAAAAGAGACTGTTGCTTCAAGGTGTGGTGATTTTTTTTTTTTCCACAACAGAAGCTACAACGGGTCTTTTGCTTTCTTATACACAAGATTGCCGGACAAGAATAACCTGCCATACCACAGACCATCTGTAAACGAGGCTCGAAAGGCTACTGGTTCAAGAAAAGCTAGTGACACGGCCAAGGTAATTTTTGAACTTCCCCCCCTTCTTCGCCATGTGGCTTCCGATGAGAAAGCGGAGCTCTGCGTGGCGTTGATTGGGGGGACTGGACCAATGTTTCAGACGGATTCTCCCGTACGAGACAAAGGAGTAAACGAAGAAAAGCAAGCCGATTGACAATCGCCAAGCTCCTCCGATTGATTGCGCCAGCCGACTGGCAACCTGGCGGGGCGGAGAGAACTTCGCCGGTCTACGGCCACAGCAGTTCCGAAATAGTTGTACTGATAACTTCCTCTACGAAAGTAATAAAAATATAGCAAAAATTAGACATAACACTAAACTCACTAGATAAACTTGTAGCCAAAATGAGTTTCGATTGATCTTGGCCGAGTAGATGTCGCACGATAGTGTTGGCCGTTGATCGGCCATGTACTTTGTCCCCATCCCTTGCCAACTTTCAAGACACTGAAACATGGCAACTGGGTCCCATGATCCATCCATCCCATCTTTGGTTATCTGGGGCCATCGGCCTATTTGATTGGTTCCATCGCTTACTCCTTTCAAAAAAGATCATCAAGGCTGACAATAGATAGATTAATTTAGATTACTTGTCCGTCGGCAGTCGCCGCGTGCGACGTCCGGCGTCCGGCAAATCGCAGTGGTGCCTCTTCATCTGTTCACAGTTTCCTGAAGCCTACCTACCGTCTCTAACTGCCAAGCAAACGAAGCTGTTATCCAAACGAGGCGTATCGGTTTTCCGCGGTCGAAATCGGGTCTTGTCGCCCTTCTCGAAGCTTCTTTCAAATTACAAATTACGTATAACTACTTTCGTTTGATTTTTATTTATTTTTGTCATTGTTGGGTCGTTGCGTTTGCAGTGTCTGTGCTCCCTCCCTCCCAGCGCAATCTCAAAACGCCGGGTATCGGCGACTATACCCTTGTCGAGCCACGCGTGCAGATCAATCGACCCAAAAAGTGAAGCCTCCTTTGTGCGCGTTGTAGATCTGTTTGAGCAAGACAAACGGTAAAAACGGCCGAGTATGTCCGACCCCGTCGTTGATGACGACGTCGTTTCCCTCTCTTGCAGATGAGTTGGTTGAGGTAGCAGGTGCACGATCCAGTGTGGCGGTCCGCGAAATCCCCGGTCGTTTCTGGCAAGAAAATGAAAATGTGCATTGGTGCCGGGGACCTTGAGTGGCCTCTGCGCGCCGCTTTACGGTGATGCAGTCGCGGAAGTCCGAGTGGTAGGTACTTTTGTGCTCTTTTGATCTTTTGCAAGGCTTGGGGGTGGCATTGCGGTGGTTCCTTTCGTTTGCACAATATGGCAACTTGCAGGGTCTCCTTTATTTTATTTTCCCTTTATTTTTCCCTTTTGCGAATGCGTCCATTTCTTTTGTGCGGCCGACGACAAGAGTAGTGTTGTCTTGGATGTGAAGAACTGAGCAATTACTTTGCCCATTCCACCAGTGACGATGGGCACAATCGAGAGGAAAATTGGACGTTATTTCTCTTAGGTAGCCCTGCCATAATCAAACACTTGCTGTCAGTTCTCCAGAGGCCGTGGAGAGAGTGCTACAAAAAGGCATTGTTATAAACTCGAGTACACATATACAAGCAAGATGAGATCGAGCCACTACTGACCGGTAAAACCAACTGTATAATCTCGGTATCATTTAAATGTGTTATGTGTGAATTATATGATTAAATTTAATGAGATGTTTTTTTTTTTTTTCCTTTTTTTTTCTTTTTTCCTTTCTTTCTTTTTTCCTTTCTTTTGTTTTTCTTTTCTCTCTGATTTTTTTATTATTATTTTTTCTTTTCATTATTTCTGAAAGGTTTTATTACGGACAACGCTGGCGCTCAGAGACCTGCTCGGCCGCGTTTGCATCTGATGCCCTGAACGCACTGGCCCAATTCTAACAATCTGCTTCGAATTCTATCGAATTCTATTCTCTCCCTACAAGTCTAATAATGTCCATGCATTCAATAATCTATGTCACCACGCTTAATCTTCCCAGCAACACAGTCGTGAGCCCACTCAAAGGCCGTACGGTACCAGCGCAGCGAATTCTCATCCCGTCCAGTAATCCAGTGGCCCTCGTCCGAAAACGTGAGAAGCGCGCTGGGCACGCCTTGAGCTTGTAGCGTCTTGAACATGGCTAGTGCCTCCGTCGTCGGCGACCGGTAATCCCTGTCGCCAGTTGTCACGAGCGTCGGCGGCGCGTTGCGAAACTTGACCAGTCTTTCCGGCCGGGCCGGGTTGAACCGCTCGAGGTTCTCGGGCTGTGTCCACGGAAACGTGCTCTCGCCAAAACTGCCATCGTTGACAATCTGGTCCGTCTGCATGAGCCAGGTCGGCAGGCTGAAGATTCCGTCGTGCCAGATGGCGCCGCAAAACTTTATGGCATGTTCAGCATGTGCTGACTTGTACAGCGACGTGGGGCTTACCTTGGTAATGATTTCGTGGCTGAAGAGGCAGCTTATCAGGTACGCTCCGAAGCTTGCGCCTTGAATTACTGCCTTGTTTTGGTCGAGATATGGTACAGTTTCCAGATGCTTGATGAGCTGACTGACATCGTCCACAGGACGTCCGCCCCACGAACCGCGCACATCTAAAAACAAACAACAAACGTTAGCCTGCAATCAATTGCTGAAAACGCATCGACTGAGAGCTCACTGTCTCGAAACTTGGTGCCAAACCCAGTACTGCCAGTTATGTTTGGCAGCACCACGACGTAGCCCTGTTCAGCCCACGCCGCTGCGTGAAACTGCTGCTTCCACCCATCCGTCCACGCGCCCTCGGGACCGCCATGGAGTGCCAGAATCCAGGGATACGTCTTTTCATCGTCAAAGTCTGCAGGACGCACCATGAAGGAATGCATAAGCGTATCCTCGGAGCCCTCGAACCAAAACTCAGAGACCATGCCGGTGTGCAGACCAAACCTTTTGCCGTTGTACGTCGATGACGAGATCGTGCGGACAATCTTTTGCTCGCCCACATCGACAACCTGCCAGATACTGCTGTCGACAAAGGTGCTGCTAGAGACGAGTAGCCTGCTCCAGTCGCCTTCCAGCATGGGGTAATAGTCTGCCGCGGTGCCTCGATCAAAGATGACGACGGGCTTCCTGTGCTCGCCCAGCTTGAGGTACGAAATGATGACCCGACCGCAGTACTCACTCATAAAGACGCACGAAAACGAATCTCCCGCAAAATCAAAACGAGTAGGCGGGTTGTAGTCGTCGTCTGGCACCGTGCGGTTGACAATTTGGAAAAAGTTGAATGACTTGAGGGTGCTTGTCGAGCACAGGTAAAGGTGCCGGTTTTCGAGATCGCCGCCCTCTCTGGAAAACAAAAAACCAATGGTTGTGCCGTCGGGAGACGTACGGATGCACGTAGCCTGGCCCTCGAGATTGGGCGGCACCGAGATGGGCAGTGGCTTCTGCGCCGGCGGCAGCGTGTACGAGTCAATGGCGACATGGTACGGATACGAGTTGTCGCTCTGCTGCGGCGACTTTTTGGACAAGTCTCTGCCGACAAAGGCCACGCCGCAGCTGGAAATGTCAAAGTTGTCCACGGCCCGGGTGAAGCCGGCCATGTACATGCCATACGGAGCCTCGATGGTGTCTTCCAGGACAAGATTGTGAAGAATCTCGGGAAGCTCCCACTTTCGGTTGCTGGTCTGTCGCAAGACATTGTACCAGAGACTGTATCGCTGCTCACGGTACAGTTCGTTCCACTTGCAGGGTACAAAGGTCAGCGAAGTTTGCTCCGATGGCGCGGTCAACTATACTCACAATGCGAACGTGCCAGGTCTTAAAGAGCCGGCCAGAGTCTGGCTTCTTGTCCGTGGTTTCATTGTACAGCATGCCGTCGCCGTCAGACAGACCAGCCACCATGAAGACTACCGTCCCGTTCCCAAGTGATTTAAGTTTGAGGCTTGTCAAAGCTGCATCAAACTCGGCAATCTTGAAATTACTCTTGCCAAAACTTCTTGTATAACATACTTCTGTCGATCCATGCTCCGTCGACCTGAGGTAGAGGACATCGTTGGTGAGCGGGATCCAGCAGGCGTCGTGCACGTTGGCGTCGTCAGTTAGTTGGACCGACTGGTTATCGGCAAATTGCATCACGCAGACTTTTTTGGTAGTGCCGCTGCCGATTTCATGCGTCGAAACTGTGTATAAGCCATATTCGCCATTGTAGTTTGGTACTACAGGGCTTCGCTTGGGACATTCACTGAGCGACTCGGCCGTGAGCCGGCGATTGACTACCATTGTGCGCTGCGTACGGTCGAAACTGCGTGATTCGATTCACGAGTAAGATGAAAGACCGAGTTGAGGCCATCAAATTTGGTGTTGAATTTTGAATTTTGTGTTGAAATGGTTCATGCAAGTGTCCACGTTCAGCCTTACGTGTGCCCTCGGATCGGCGACATGTCACATCAGGCTAGTTGCTGGAGCTAGAAGCGGACGCGTATGCTATCCGCGCGGCCTTATAGGGCAACTCTCCCCCTTTGCCACATTGTAAGCAATAGAGTTTGGGGCTACTTCTAAGGTGAAATTATTTTGATTTAGGCAACAAGAACTTTTAGTATTTTAATCATTTTGGGGGTGCTCTCCGTCACACGCGCTCAGAAACGACTTGTCGTCTCGGTTGTCGCCAGTGTCTCGCTCGAAGCCCAGACATCATGTTAATTAGTGACTGCTAGAATTCCGCAGTCAGCATTTAGATTTCTCATCAACCCGTACTCGCCACTCCATCAGCGACGTACCTGTTCTCAGCCTTCTCGACGGGCACCTGGAGTAGGCACTCTGGATGTGATGGATCAGATAATTGCCAATAGATACAGTCTTCTTTGCACGCCCAGATCCATTTGTAGCCGGGCTTTTCCACCTGCCATGGTACCATGTACTTGCATAGCGTGGCTGATCCAATGGCAAAACTGGCACGGTCGCGGGGCAGGCTACTGCCTACCGTTGCGACAGCAAGAACAACAAGGAATTTGGTGACAAGCTGCATCTTGATCGGTTGTTTCGTTGGAAAAAAGTGTATTCACTGATTCGATGTTGTCAAGGAGGGGAAGAGCTCTCTTTATAGTAACACTTTGACAGCCCATCTTATCTTTCGAGAAACCTGCCCGTGCAGTGTCACACCACTTGTACAGACTCGACCACCTGATTCCCGAGCAAACGATCGCGATGCGGTTATATTTGCCCAATTAAACATCTGTATTGTCGCGCTGCTTGCCGATGGTTGCCGAGATGCATATCCAAATTGGTAGCAATATTGGCGCAACTTGCTAGTTTGGCGCCACAATAGATCAAAACGGCGGCCAGGCAAGGCACATTGTGTCAAGCCCAACTTTTACGGAAACGGATCAAGGAACTTTGCGTTCTCCTTCAATACATTCCAATTACAAAGTTACTTAGTCTATACCGCATGCATCGGACTTCGGTAAAGTAGGTATGTGTCGCCTGTCGTTGACTGAGAGCGCGAGACAAGAGACCTATGCTTTCCTGCTGGTGTGCTGGAAAAGTATGTCGATACAAGCCGAGATATACCGTTATACATGAGACATGGAGGCTCAGAAAAATAAAATGGTCGAAAGAGAACTGAATAAAGGCAATGGGAAAAATAAATATGGTAAGCCATACGGATAAAGCCGAAAGAAACATGGCGGAGCTTGTAAGAGCAACACGGTGCAAGACAGTGTCTGGCGCCAATAGGCACTCAACAATAGTCATCCTGAAGAACCAAATTATCGACAATGATCTCATTTATAAATTCGCATCAAATGATTAGGTGAAGAATTTCCGTGATTTTGTCTGCACTGGTGTTTTGCTATGGTGGCCTGACTAAAGCATCATCGCGGATCGCCAAGTCCCCATAAAAAATCTTTAACCACCACATTCATTCACCACATTCGTTCACCAGCAAGTTCTTACTCGACGACAAACCCAGGCCATGGTGTCTTATTGCAAAACCCCATCCCCAAATTCATCCCAAAAAAGCAGCCATGGCCGGACGAACCACAGTCTTCCTCACCCCCGAGGAGACCAAGCGCGTCACCCAAAAGTTTGAGCACGGCGTCGAGCAGCGCAAGACCCGCGCCGGCGAGGCCTGGAAGGCCGAGGACCGCAGGGGCCTCGTTCAGCATGCGACGTCCACGTCTCTCATGCAAGAGCTGTCCCTGGCGTCGCTGGGCTTTGGCGGCGCGGCCCCGAAAAAGGGGGGGGGCGACGAGACCATGATGACCTATGCCGTCGGCGCGCCGTACCCGCCGTGCACCGTCGATGCCGCGGACCTTGAGCCAATGGCGGTCGCGGAGCTGCAGCTCGAGAGTCACCACCGCGGCAAGAAGCTTACGGTGCGCCGCGTCTCCCCCGTGGCGGAGCTCAAGACGTCGTCGTGGGCGGTGGTGGAGGGTGTCGGGGCCGAGCCGGACCAGGTCGTGGTGTTGGAGATGTTTCTGCACAAGCAGCTTATGGGCACGGAGCTGCTCGATTTCGGCTCCGAGTTTGTCATCAAGGAGCCCTATTACACGCTCAACGGCGACAACGAGGCCGTGGTTCGCATCAACCACCCCTCGGACCTGGTCGTTGCAGCGTTTAGCGAGGATCCTGAATCCTGGCGCGACAACTACAAGGTCGAGGACCCGGCCGTCACCCCGGCGCAGTGCAAGGAAAAGGGCAACACGGCGCTCGGCAAGCAGCAGTACGCTCTCGCGCACGCCTACTACACGCGGGGCATCGCCGCCGCCGACGCCGCCGCCGACCCCGCGAGCACCTTGTCCCAGGACATTCGCCGCAACCGCGCGCACGTCAACCTCCTTTTGCAGCGCTACGACGAGGCCAAGACCGACGCGCTGGCGTCACTCACCAACGGCGCCTCCGAGGAGCAGCAAGCGCTCGACGCCAAGGCGTGCTTTCGCGCCGGCAGCGCCGCCTACGCGCTGGGCGAGTTTGTCGAGGCCAAACGTTGCTTTGTCGAGCAGGACCGGCTGCAGCCGGACAACAAGACGACGCAGACCAACATCCGGCGGACGACCAAGCGCGTGGAGGAGCAGGAAAAGGGCAGCCACGACATGAAAAAGGTCGTCGCCAGCCTGCCCAAGGTGCAGTGGAAGCCCGACGTGGCGAGCTTTGACGGCAAGACGACGGTCAAGAGCAGTCCGGGAGCGGGACGGGGGCTGTTTGCCGCGCGTGACTTCAAGGCCGGTGAGCTCATCATGTGCGAAAAGGCGTTTTGCACAGTGTCGAGCAAGGACAAGGCCAGTCCCGCGGTCACGGCGCTGACGGTGAATATTGGCCAAGACTACAGCATTCGTGTGTTCCCCGCCGGTCTGCACCGCGCCGTCGTGCAGAAGCTGCTCAACAACCCGTCGCAGGCCTCCAAAGTCCTCGGCCTCGACAGCGGCGATTACCAAGGCGTCGGCGAGACCGGCGCCTCAACCGCCGAGGGCCCCGTCGTCGATACCTTTCAGGTGCACAACATTGTGCAGCGCAACGCCTTTGGCCTCGGTCCGCAGTCCGCCGACGAGGACGTCTCCAACGCCACGACTGGTCTGTGGGCGCGCGCCTCGTACCTCAACCACTCGTGCATGCCCAACTCGGTCAAGGATTTCGCCGGCGACCTGATTGTGGTGCGCGCGTTGCAGCACATTCGCACCGGCGACGAGATTACGCACGCGTACCAGGACAATGGCGACTACGACGCCCGTCAGGCTTTGCTGCAGACGACGTGGGGGTTTACGTGTCGGTGCAAGCTGTGCGTGGCGGAGGCGGCAGACGGCGACGAGGTGAGGGTGAAGAGGCGGGAGCTGATGAAGGAGGCGGAGGAGTTTGTGCAGAGCAATAATCCGAATGGCGCGCGCATTGTTGCGCTGACGAAAGCAAAGAGGTTGCGAAAGGCGCTGGATGATACGTATGATGGGAAGCGGTTCAAGGGGCTGCCGAGGTTGGCGACAAAGGAGATTGATCAGTGGCTGGCGATTGCGCAGCGATAGATTTTTATAATGAATGACGAAGACGATGCATAGGTTTATTTGGGGTTAGAGGCGGGAAAAGGAAAAGTGATTTAGCAAGGCGGTTATAGATACGGTCGTTGTTTCGCCGACAAGACTCTTACAGAATCCTGCAGTGGTTTTCATGATTACTAGCATACATGAATATAGCATACATGCTGTGCAGCTACAGGCTTTTCAGGCTCAAGTCTCCTTACTTCTTGGCATCAGCCTTCATGCCCGCCTGCACCCAGGCCCGCGACCCGTGCGCCTTTTCCTCCAGCTCCTCCTCGCTGAGCTTGGCCAACTCAAAGGCATTGTGCGGCGTCGGGACGTGGCGGCCGGCCTCGAAGCCGGGACGCTTGAGCAGCTCAAACAGCCACTTTTTGAGCGCGGGGAACTCGTCAATGTCGACACCAGCCCACTCTGTGACACAGAACAGAATTAGTAAAGATTTTGTCTTCAAGTATGTTGAAGAAAAGGTTTAAGGTCTTGCAGGTAAAAAAAAAAACAAAAAAAAAAACTCACTTGCGCTGGCGACCCAGCCCCAGGCGGAAATGTCGGCAATGGTGACTCTGTCACCGACCAAGACGCCGTGAGGGTTCTTTTTGAGTGCATCGTCCATTGTGCGGTACAGACGGCGCGTCTCGTTGGTGTAGCGGTCAATGCCGTACTGAATCGGTTCAGGAGCGTAACCTGTTTTTTTCCAATTTCACCCCTTGTCAGACGAATACAATGACAGGAAGCAGGCTGCAGGTTGATCTCGACTTACGCTTAAAGTGGTTGGCCTGGCCCTGCATGGGACCAAGACCGCCCATCTGCCACATGAGCTGCGCACAGGATTAGCACTTGTATACCTCCATTGTCGACGAAAAAAATAAAGAAACATACCCAGCTAGTCATCTCCCAGTACTCGGGCGTGTCGCGCGGATACGACACCTTGTGGTCTTTATCGTAGCGCTCCGTCAGGTACTGCAGAATGGCACCCGACTCAAAGACGCGAATGTCCTTGCCGTCGGTCCACTTGTCGGTGATGGCGGGAATACGGCCGTTGGGGTTAATGTCGAGATACCACTTCTCCTTTTGCTCGTTTTCGCTCATCTTGATGGCGTGGACCTAAATTCAGAGCTGCCGTGTGAGCGCTCCCCCGTGCCCGTCATGTTCCGGAGGGTCGCAAAAGTTTCAAAACATACCTTGTAGTCGAGGTTGAGCTCCTCGAGCAAGATGCTGGCTTTGATGCCATTGGGCGTGTTGACCGTGTAGAGGGTAATGTCTGTCTTTGTAGCTCCCATTTTGAACAAGTGCTTTGCGATTCCGGCAAGACGTATTGTCATGAAACTTGAAAAAAAAAAAAACGGTAAGATCTTGTTGGTGCGATTGAGCAAGGAGGTATGATAAGAAGGTATGATCAAGAGGTATAATTAAATGGAATGAATTTCAAATTCAAGGCTAGTTGAGGTGCGGGGGTGATTGAGTTTATAGCTGTTTCTGGGTTTACACACAAGATAGATGGCTACAAGATGTGGAGTTTTAATGTTGCATTCATTCCTCTTTTCCGAATCTTCCATCAAAAAGGCGGATTTTCTCGACCAATGACCAAAGAGGGGGGAAGCTTATAGCGAATCGTCCTCGATTGGTAATGCTGGAAACGGAACGAGCTCGATTAGAAATCGGGTCCGAGGTGTGTGTGTGTGGATGGCGTCACTACTTGATTTGTTATTTGGCTAGCTTCATCAGACGCGGAGAGGGCGGAGCGGAGAAGCTGAGTGAGCTTTGGTGGAGGCTTTACTTTGGCACTCTTTTTTTTTTTCTTTTCGAAATTACATATTGGTCTTTTGTAATCAAACTTGCTGACGTTTCTCACTTTCCTGTACACAGAATCACTGCTTATCAACAATAGTAGACGCCAAGGGGCATGAGAAGCTCTTTCAGTCGAGACGCATCATACGCGCCAAGATCTGCGGGCACATGCGATACTTACACTATGATACAGATATATACATGAACAGATAATTTACAAGAAATGTCCTGGTGGAATAAATCTTCCCACGCTCGCAAATCAATCAACTTCTTTTTCGTGGCTGCCAAGTTGACGGCACAGATTTGTCAGCCGCAGGTCTTTGTAAAGGTCGGTCCCTGTCATATCGTAACCGCGGCTGCCACTGCTTTGTTTCGCTCGCAGACGACCTCTCACCATCGTCACCCGGCCCGTCTTTCGCCGTGCTTTGCCCTTTGGCGTCGCCCCCATTGACCATTGCCGCAGCCCGCCGTCGCTCCTCCGGTCGCGTCGCGTAGTGCTTGTCCAGCGTGTCGGCCACCACCTCGCCAAACGCCTCGGCCGACGCGCACCGCGCATGCTGCGGCCGCCAGACGGTGAGCCACAGCGTGCCGTGCAGCTCCGTCCCGTCCTCTTTCCGTCCGTGCTTGTCGTAGCCGCGGGCCGCGAGGCTGCAAAAGACGGCCCGCAGCAGCTCCCGCTTGGTCAGCTGCCAGACGACGGCGGAGACGCCGCCGACGGACGTGGCAAACGCCCAGAGAGCCTGCTCGCGCGTCTTTTTCGCGTGGTCGCTGCGAATCTTGGGCGCGAGGGGGTGCCCGTGAGGGTCGAGGAAGCGCAGCCGGTGCGGGTGGAGGACGTGCCGCGGCGACCACGCGAGCCGCGCGCCGTACGCCTTGTCCAGCCGGCGGACTTGTGCGGTGGCATCGAGGCGCGCCATGACGCCGTGGTCGTGCTCGACGGTCGGGTTCTCGCGAAAGAAGCGCACAAAGGCCGGCGTCGTCGTCAGGTTGCCGTTGCGGGGGTTCATAAATTTGGCAACATCGGCGGAGAGCACCCGCGAGACGAAGCTCTGCTGAGGCGTCTTGGCTAGTTTTTGGTGGCGGTCGAGGCGGTCAAAGGGTCTGCTGCCACCTTCAGACTGCTGGCGAGGGGGTTTCGTGGCGGATGTCGAGGCACATCGTGTCGCCGCCGTGCCGAGAAGCTTTACGTAGGAAGCTTCCGGGAGGGCTCGTCGTATGGTGAGCACCGAAACAGCTGTGTGATTCAGCTTGGCGTAGTGCATGGTCATATCATGGTGGCAAGGCCAGCTCGGCTGTTGTGACTCTTTGCTGCAATGTCTCGCCACCCAAACAAGTTCTCAAAGTTGTTGACTGTATTTTCGAACAAGAGAGCCAAGAGAGCTTCATCTGAGAGGCTATCGGACCATCGAGAAACTTGGCGTCGCGCTAAACCACAATCAGACCTTCATTGTGGATGTGCCTGGCGCTGTGACGCACAGTGAGCGGGTCAGAGTTAGTCGAATACTTCTTATAACATCATGACCGCCCGCTGTTAGCAAGTATCTCTCTATCGTCCACGGCTGCACCATGTCATGCTTTGGTGCCCGACGATTGAGTCATACTGGGGCTACCAGCGTCAGAAGAAAAAAAAATGCGTTGTGGGCGAATTTACTCTGGTGCGCAGGGAACAAAACATATTTCTGAATGGGTGGCTAGCATGGTGCGCCCCTCTTAAATCGTGGTCATTAGGATTCGCTGGCTTGTGGTTGTGAGGTGCCACTGAGGACGCATAGGCACCTACCTAGGGGCGGCCAATGTGTGTGGCCGCCGACAGGCCACTGCAGGCGAACCAGCGAGGGAGGGTGGTAGATAAAATGGCAGCCCGCCTGCCCACTCTCCTTCACACAAAAAACATCATCACAAAGACGCCTGTCGCAACCCTCGATTTCTTTACACAAGAAAAACAGCGTGGCACGCATACTTCGATATGCCTAAGAATAAGGGAAAAGTGAGTAGCCAGATCTCTTCATCAGCAGCATTTCTTCCGCCCACACCGGCTGCCCCCTTTGCGCGCGCGCGTAAACCCCTCCATCGTCTCTTCCCCGCCCCCGCCATGGTTCGCGATGTGGTCTCCTAGTCGCGCTGTCCATTTTTCACCTACGACCCAAATTCTTGTAACAAAACACAATACAGAGAAATCCATCGTGCTAATACGTCTCTCTCTCCTCACAGGGTGGCAAGAATCGCCGTCGCGGTACCAAGGAAAACGACGACCAACGTCGAGAACTCACCTTCAAGGAGGACGGTCAGGAATATGCTCAAGTCTTGAAAATGCTGGGCAACGGCCGTCTTGAAGCCCTTTGCTTCGACGGAAGCAAGCGTCTAGCCAACGTACGTTTTTACATGTCCCGGGTGCCGAATGGACGCGCCGTTTGCAAGAAATGCCTTGCCCCTCGATATCGTAACACCGACGCCACAATACTACGAAACCGAGGGCAAACGCAGAGTCTGCAAACGTTCCCTCTGGACTCGGATACTCTGTCTTGACATATTTGCTAACTCGTGCAGATTCGCGGTAAAATGCGAAAGAAGGTCTGGATCAACCAGGGCGACATCATTCTCCTGTCCCTGCGTGATTTCCAAGACAACAAGGGCGACGTCATCCTCAAGTACACCGCCGACGAGGCCCGCACACTCAAGTCGTACGGCGAGCTGCCCGAAAATGCCAAGATCAACGAGCACGACAACTTTGGCCAGGGCGAGGACGGCGAGGCCTTCTTTGAGTTTGGTGACGACGCCTCCGACTCGGACTCGGAAGAGGACGACAAGAAGAAGGAGGTCGACATTGACGACATTTAAGACTGTCTGCACCCATTGTCCACCCGGCAAGGGGACGCATCAGATTGTACGCCTGCTGTGCGATGACAGTTTGACAATGCAATTCCCCCTGTGATCCCTCCTTCACCGAATATTCCGACATTCCTTCTCGGTTCCACTTTTGTCCGCATCATCAAACCGGGCGTTATTAGGCTTACTGTATACACTGTCTTCTCTCTCAAACCCTCTTTTGCTAGTATATCTATCAGCGGGGGTCCCACGACAGTATCGGGAGTGGATTACGTTTCCCATCTCGGGACGGCCATGGTGGGAGAGACGTCATGGCTGTCGAATCAAATCAACTGTTTTCATTCTAAGACTCTTGTCTTTAGCTTTTCCAATGTCGTGTGTGTGTGTGTGTGTGTGCCTTTTCGACCTTGTCAACTTGGGTGTCGCTTTATTAGAACGAACCGCCGTTGGGCGCTCTTGACCGCTTATAGACCGAGATGCATACTTGCAACTATGCTGGCAATTGTTCCTTTACCATGACAACAAATAATACAACCCCGCAAACATGTTATTTTGAAATTGAAATGAAACGCCACATCACGACGGTCTTGCCTAGATTTGATTTCTGGAGAAGCCCATGAACCAACGTTGAAGTGTCACTTTTTCGCTGATTTGCATCTTCTAGACTGGCGTGGTGAATATACAAAAGAAGAATGATTTAGAGAAAATCACCACAGACTAGATTCAGCCAACAGCGTTTGCCTCCAACTGAATAAGACATGACCCATGCCTGCAATTCTATGCCATGACCAACTCCACAAACTCTACCAGTCGTCATCATCATCTTCATCATCTATAGCACAATGGTTAGCTTCAAAGCAGAAGAGCAAGATACCAGACATGTTTAAACTCACCACTCTTGGCCACCTTGTCTTTGCGCTTCTGCAGCGCCGCCGCCAATGCATCCGCCATGCCACCGCCTGCACCCGCACCTGCACCGGTAGCCGCTGCCGCTGCCACGCTACCACCAGCACCACCACCGGAGTCGCCGCCGACCTGCGCAGAGCTTCGATCGCGAATCGCGCTCCTGTCCACCTTTTTCAGCGCGCCGATACCGCCCGCTTTTTGAATATCGCCCAGCATGGCTGCTCTGCCGCCCTCGGCCTTGGGCAGGGCTGGCGCGGGAGGGCCGTTGTCGCGCGAAGGCATCGGAGGGGGAGGCGGCGGAGGTGGAGCACCGCCGCCGGTAGGAGGTAGCGGTGGAGGGGGAGGTGGTCCACCGGCTCCAGCAGGAGGGAGAGGCGGCGGAGGAGGAGGAACACCGCCAGAAGGAGGGAGAGGAGGCGGGGGAGGAGGAACAGCGGCAGAAGGAGGAGGTGGAACAGCGGCAGAAGGCGGGGGAGGGATCGGTCGGCTGCTGAGTGGAGGAAGAGGTGGTGGTGCGAGGGCGGGTGCAACTTTCGGTGGCAAAGGAGGAGGTGCCGGAGCTGCATGTGAGTCGTTTCGAGGTGGAGGTGGAGGAGGACCGCCGCGGCTCGGCAGCGCGGGTGCGGGTGGTCCAGATGGCACGCGCTGTCCATTAAAAGCAGGAGGGACGGCATGGGCTCGCTGGGGAGACTCGGGCTCCAATGGCGTCTTGGCAGGTCGTGGAGGGGGAGGCGGTCCAGCATTGGGGGCGTGGGATGGTGCCGTAGGTGTCGTAGGAACGGGTCGTCGTTTAACGGGCTCGGGCACGTTGGCAAACTTGCCTGCATCGGCTAGCGGCGGCGGCGCGCGGAATCTGGGTCGCTCGGGTTCGGGAGGAGACGCCGGCGGTGACGGCGATCGCGGCTCGGGTGTTGACGTTTCCGCTCTCGTCGATCTTCGAGGCGCCGGCGGCGGAGGAGGCCCATTTCTCTTTGCCGAGCTGGCCGCTGGTGGTGGTGGAGGTGGAGGAGCACGACCGCCGCCGTTGGTGCGAGGTGCAGGCGGAGGTGGTGGTGCCGTCGGTGACGCAACATGGACTCCTCCTTCTCCATTGATCTTTTTCTGCTCCTCGCGCAAGAAGTCGACGATAAACTCCTGATTCTCCTTGATAAAGTCGTCGGTCAAGCCCTTGTCACTGAGGTCCTTGCCAAAGTGCTCGCGCCACAGCGGATCAAAGGCGTCGAGCAGCGCAAACTCAGAGGCCGTCGGCAGCAGCCCGAAGCTGCCGCCGTTGACTAGCGTCGATGAAGAGTGCTGCGGGCCGGGCGGCGGCGGCGGGAGGCTGCTCACACGGGGGGGTTCGGGAGTCGGCGCAGAGGAGTGGCGGTGGAACAGGCCGCCGAGTAGGCTGTGCTTCTCCTTGACCTGGCCTCCCCCTCCGCCAAAGGGCGTGGATTTTGTAGCGCGACTCGCGTTCTTTTCTCGATCGTCCATTTTCTTCTTGAATTGTCTGGCTTCCTTTTCGTCGACGAAGCTGAGGCCGGCGAGGCAGTCTTCGAGCCCAAAGGTGTGGAAAAAGGTGCGGTCCTGATTGTAGCTCCAGCTCTCAAAAATTTCCTGGTCCCAGATGACGCCACGGGCGGTCGGCTGTCTGCGTTAGTAGTCTATCAGCTATAAGTTGCAGAAGAAAGGACCTACCGAGATATCGACCATCTTGAGCCAGTATGTGTTGCCAACCAAGTCATTGGCCAGGACGACGGCCCCTTGAAGGCCCGTGTACGTCCATTTCGTCGGGTCCGGATAGGCAATGTATAGTTTCGCAACGGCGACGGCCTGGATCTTATTAAACTGCTTGGGGATGAAGCGCTTGACCACTTCCTTGTCCTCGTCGTTGAGGATGGACGGCATGCTGCGGGCGCTTAGGAGGCTGATGCAGCCTGCTCGCGCGACAGTTGCTGTGCGGGGCTGGGACGCCTCAAGAGACGGGACAGTCGAGCGATTGCGACAGCTGTGCAATTGAGGCAGCGAATTTGCAGTTTGTCGGTTGAGAGTTTTCTAGGGCAGTGTCGCTCCAGAGTGTGCAAAGGTTGCGAGCAGAGTTGAAGCGTGTTGAAGGAGTGACGAAAGAACGAGGCTATGGAGGTGTGGTGGCCAGCACTGACGACTGGACTGACGTGAGTTACCCGCTGTGGTGTCCACCCACCAGGCGGCTGCCCCAGGCAGCGTCTTGGATGGGCGAAAATGTGCACATTTCAATACCACATTTCAATACCATCTCTTGAAAGAAACAGCTAAAATTATATAAATATATACTAGGATGTTTAAAAATGTCACCACTGGTCGTAGTCAGCCTCACTGAGCTGGTATGTAATCGGCTTGGGTAATTAGACAAAACGCGTCTATTGCAATATCATTCTCGAGACAATACGTGCTGAAAAGCTAAAAGTCGAAGAATTCGTCCATGTAAATAATTAATCAGTAACTGTTGTTTGTGGGTTGGTCCTAGTAGGTGAGTTATAGCACCTAGACGCTGGCGAGCATCCTGCTTAGGTATAGTAATAAGGAACTGGCGATGGCAGGATACTCACTGGTTGTCGTCGGCGTGGCAGGATACCTACTCACTGATTATCGTAGGCACGGTAGGATACTCACTGGTTCTTGTAGTCGCTGGTTGTCGTAGTCTTGACAGTCGTCGTAGTCTTGACAGTCGTCGTAGTCTTGACAGTCGTCGTAGTCTTGACAGTCGTCGTAGTCTTGACAGTCGTCGTAGTCTTGACAGTCGTCGTAGCCGGTCTTGGATATGCTGGGTTTCGGCGTGGTTCACGCAGCGTGACAGAGAGACAGAGGCTTTATTTCCCGAATATCTTTTCTCTTTTTTTTTTCTTTTCTCTTTGCTTAATGAAGATTGGTTGTAGCCGGTCTTGAATATGCTGGATTCTAACGTGATTCCCGCAGCGTGACAGAGAGACAGCGGCTTTGTTTCCTGAATATCTTTGCTTCTAATTTTTTTTTTTTTTTTGCTGAATGAACATAAAAACACTTGAATCTAACTAAGATGGAGGACCAGAGGAACTCAAAGCATAAGAGTCAGAAATAATAATAATAATGCTTCAACGTGGCTGACGCCTTGAAATCTTTTCTGCAGCCACCGAGAATCTTATTCTGCCACTGCAAAATATTCGAGAGCGAGAAGAAATGGTCCTCCTACTATATACTCGAATCATTACCTTTTACAAGAAACGAATTACTTGCTCCAAAAGTGAAACGGATTGCCAGTCCCGGCTACAACGTGGAAATGCCAGTCTACGGGAGAAATGACAGCGTACCAGACGACGTCCCCGAGCTCGACTTTGATCTGTCTACCATTTCCGAGTCTGAGCCCAAGACTAACTTTGATGACAGTCCCGAGACTGACGATGAAGACGGTCAAGACGATCAAGACGATCAAGACGATCAAGACGATCAAGACGATCAAGACGATCAGGACGATCAAGACGATCAAGACAATGAAGACAATGAATACAATGATAACGATGATAACAATGATAACGATCAAGACGAGTCTCATGACCAAGACGACGATTCCGAACCTGAAGATGATGGATACGACTCTGGGTATGAGGCTGAAGCAGAGTTCGAGTCTGACGACGAAGAATATGATGATGATTCTGAGCAAGAAGACCAAGACTCAGAGTCCGATGGTAACCACTTCAGCGCAATCGACCGGTTAATTGAACAGCTTGACCGCCTCCGGCTCAAGGTTGAAATGTATGCAGCCCGCAGAGCTGCTCGCACCAACCCCGTGAATAGCCTCTCTCGCCACTCAAACGTCCGTCCTTCATACGGGGGCTTCGTGATTGACGTTTCCCATCTCGACATTCACAACAACGCGCCCCAGTCCACTGCCGCCGCCGCCGTCGTCGTCCTCGTCTCCCCGCTCGCAGTCCAGCACAACGAACCCGTCCGGTGCACCATCTCCTTTCGCTGGTGGCTCACCGGTTGCGAGCACGCCGAGTACAGCGTCCCCATCGTCTTGTACGTGCTCGTCTGCGATTACTTCACCGTTCTTGCCGCGGCCGTCCTCTGCGCAACGCTCCGGGCCCTGGCGAGGGCACTGCTTTGCAGCCCCCGCGGCATAATCATCATCGTGCGGCCGCCGCTCAGCGGCGTCTCGTTTGTGTGGCTCAAGCACGCTTCCCCCATGGTCACTGCCGTCTCCGTCGCGCTCGACGCCATTGCTGCCGACGAGAGCGGACGGGTGTTGCGGAGGCGCGGGTGCCGGGCCTGGACAGCGCTTCCCGTCTTCCAGCTGCGTCGCGAGTGGGCGGGCGCTCGTCGGCAATTCGTCGTGGTGAGCTTCACATCCTTTGCGGTGCTGTCGCTTGTTCACGTTGCCATTTGCAACTTTTGCATCACAGCGGCTGTTGAGGGAAGTGAAATCGGAGGGGGTTGAAACTTTCGCTGCCGGGCACTACATTGGACAGATAGCGCCCACGAAAGGGATTGATCTTTGTAATTTTTCGCGGTCATTGTATTTGGTTTGTTTGGTAAAAATGTTTCATGTGTAAGAGGAAAATTGTTGGGACAAAAGAGGGGGGAAAGGGCTAAAGAAAAGCTGGACATGAGAATTTTGGAAATGCGAATTTTGGAAATGATAAAAGGAAAGGACAAAAAACAATTAGCTAATGGACCGAAATACTGTTATGAAATTCTAACGCTGGATTGAAAGCTCATGAGTGAAAAGGACAAACAGGACAATTCTTGTAAAATATGATACTTGATGCCATAATCACACAAGGAGACGTGTAAGCGCGCACTTTTACCCTTCAAGAGCAGAGCAGACCAAATCACAATCAAACATGGACGCATAATAAGCAGCCACCAAATCGTAGTTCCAAAGTCTGCCATATTGGCCGGGCGTACATCTGTCCCCCTTTTTTTTTGCCTAATGCGCGCTTCAATCATATTACAACGAAAATACCTCAGTCTGCTCGGGCGGCGCTTCGTTTAATTGCCCCAGTACGCAAGGCGATGCCAGGATAGGAATCGCAAAAGAACCACCCACAGCGACATGCTTGAGCCAAGACAAGCCTGACATTGCCGCAACGAAGCCGGGGGTCTTTTTATTTGATCCCGCATGCTGAAAAACAGGTTTTTTCCGATGGAATAAATCAGAAACTTTTGTTGCGATGTGGCGTCCATGCAAGCTGGAAGAAGGCTGAGTGTACGTGCTGAAGCTGGGGGGCTGCTGGCTACAGCTATAAGTCGACAGCCAGCTTCAACAGCACATATTTACACTGCCTTTAAAAACTTGCCCTTCATTTAGCCTCTTTCTTGCGTATACTAGAAAATATATCATGAGTGAAACAGCCACCATTACCAGCAGCACCAGCAGCGGCCGTCCAGCCCTCGACCTCACCGAGACGATTCCCTTGACGCGCACGCCCAACATCCGCCTCCTCGGCGCCGCTGCCGCCGCCATCACCACCAGCACCATCACCACCAGCACCACCACCACGACGCACGAATCTTTTCTCCTCTGCAAAAAGTTCATCTACGCCACCTCTTGCACGCCCGCCACCGCCGTCTACCACATCTCCACGCGCAACACGCGCAGCGGCAAGCCCTGGCAGCTCGCCCTCAGCCGGCTCCTCCCCAGCGAGACTCGTCTCCTCTCCTCCGCCTCCGCCTCCACCACCACCTCGCCCCTTCCCTTGATCAAGTACGACGACGACCTCACCCTCTACACCGGCGAGAAGCTCGCCGTCCCCATCAGCATTGGCCAGAAGCCGCTGCTCTGTATTCGCGGCCGCCGCGCCGGCAGCAGCAGCAGTAGCAGCAGTAGCAGCAGTAGCAGCACCATCATTGTCGAAAAGACGCTCGGCCGCAGCCGTACGTATGAATTCTGGCGCATGACGCCGATCCGGCGCCCACTCAACCAAAGAGAGGAGGAGCGGATGCAGGCGCTCATGCACAAGAGGGGGTATAGGACGAGTGACGACTGGAGAAAGGAACTGGTGTACACGGCGCAGCAGGGCAGGGCTGGCGGCGCCGCGGCGGCGACGACGGAGTGGACGGACGAAAGGGGCGTCGTGGTGGCGAGGGAGAGTGATGGGCAGCTGGTGATGACGGGAGGGGCCGAGGCCGTGGAAGCGAGCGCGAGAGATCTCCTCGTGGCGTGCTGGGCGTCGAGAAACTTTGTGCTATCCAGTCGGGAGAATGAGTCGGCAGCCGCGTAGATGTTGGTCGTAAGTGGCTTGAGAATGCGACAAGACAAGTTGGTACACAAGACTTTTGATATGGTGGTTTAGTACCTTGTTGCGATCAGTAGTCTGCCAATCAGTAATCTTCTTCGTCCATGACATTTCTATCAAAAAATGCATGTATCGCCCTCCCCGCCGCCTTGCCCACCAGCGGCGCCAGCTCTTCCGGCGTCATATTAGCCACCTCCTTTACATTTTCCGTCTTGATGATGATGTTTTTGATATTCTGCGGCGTCACGCCCGGCACCACCGCCAGCATGTCCTGCGGCTCCTGGTTAAACACCTGATCTTCCGCCCGCGCGTCCTTGTCCAAGCCCGCCCGCACCGCCGCAATCGGGTCCGGCTCCGCCTCCTGCGTCTTGAGGCTCTCAAAAATCTCGGCCGTCTGGTACGGCGACGACGACCAGATGATGCGCAGCTTCGGAAACGCAAGCGTCAGCAGCACTAGCTTGGACTGCAGGTCCGATGACACATTGGTCGCCGACACGCTGCTCATGCTGCCCGACAGATCTGCAAAGGGCTCGAGGGTAAACGACTTGTTCTGGTCAAACTCAATCAGCAGCATCGGGTTCCGGTAGTGCTGAAACATGGTCTCGGCTTGCGTAAAGAGGCGCCCGTCTTTAAACGACGATACGAGATCGCTGATGCTCTTGCGCTCGACGCAAATGGTTGGCGAGAGGACGTAGTCGCCGACGGTCAGCATGCAGGGCACAATGACCATGGCGCGGCCGTGGAGCAGCGAGGGTAGCGAGGAGCGAAACTCGCGCACGTCGACGACAACGCGCGGCGGCTCGGCCGTGGCAGCGAGACGGCCGCCGCCGGCGATGCGTGTGTTGACGGTGCGCAGGAACGCTTCCTGCGGGTCTTGGATGCCGTGCGGTTCCACCGTCATGACGAGCGACATGCTCGCGCGCTCCTTGATGAGCCTGGTAAAAGCGTCCTTTTCGCGACGCACAGAGGCAAGGTAGCGCTGCTCTTCAACGGAGCCGCCATAGTATAAAAAGTAGACGCGGACGTTGCGGTCATTGTGCGACGAGCGATAGACTTCGACGCGGCGGATAAACGACGCATCTGGCTCGTACATGATAATGTAGCGAGGCCTGACTTCCTCGAGCACGTGTTCATCCTGGTCACCGTCGTAGGCGTGTATGACGACCAAGTCCTGCATGTCGTAGAGCTGGTAATAATCCTCCATGTTGTCTAGCGGATCGGCAATCACCTCGTCCTTTTGCTTGGCCTCTTCTTCTGTAATCTGCACCTCGGCCATTAATTCGGCCACTTCGTTTGGTTTTTCAAAGAATTGGGAAATACTGCCGTTTTCCGCCCGAGACATGCCGACAGCCATGTTACCGCCGCCTCGCTGTCGACGACGCTTATTCGATGGAGCTCTCCCGCCGCGCATGCCGCCGTGTCCGGGTCGAGAGTCTGTGGCGCTGTTGAGCGCCTTGTTGTTTTCCGTAAACAGCGAGGCATTGACGACGGCAAACTGCCTTTTCCAGCGCAAGTAATTACGCAAGCGGCGGCGCATCATGAAGATGGCTGATGGCTTGTGGGGGTCATCTTCGTCGTCGGAAGTCTTAGTGGTGACTTTGGGCTTGACATGCATCGTTTGCAGATAGTTTCGTAATTGACGACAGGTATCGATATTGGAGCACATGATTAGGATTGTACCGTTGGAGTCGTCCCTGGCATGTGGCTCAAAATGAAGATCGCGGTCAATTTCCTCGAGGACTTCCGCAAGCAGGCTCCATTTCGGGAGCTCTTCCAAGACGGGCCGTAGAGAGTCAATGTTCTCTTCTTGCGAAATCTGCTTTATACTGGCAGAGTAGACACGTTTCCGTGCCGTCTCAAACAGAGTTTGTGCCGCATCCAGGAACAACCACGGCGATTGCGTCTGTCGTGTCGATCCTGGAGGCGGGGAATGGGCAGCGTGAATGGTGTCAAGATGCTGAAGAAATGAGACCGCATCATAGCTGACTACATAGGCTAGCAGCCCTCGTAGAACTGTCAAGTCATTGACAATCTGTTTCGTCTTCCAGCTTACACGATGCCAGTCGGGGTCGAGCTGGCGGCGGACAATGACGTCAAAATTTTTGAGCAGCGCGCTATCGAGATTCCAGTCGTCCATTTCCAGGCCAGGATTGCCCTTTTTCAGCTCATGGATGCTAATCTCAACACACTCCATGATGGCGTTTTGGATGTCCGTCATGTATTCGGTCATTGGCACCTCGAGCTCAATGACTTCTGCCTTTTTCTTGCCCTCGAGCGACTGCGCGACGGTGACGTGAAAGCGCGGCCACAGCGACGCCTTTTTGAGAAAGAGGTTTCGCATCATCGTGGCTAGCGGAGAAAAGCCAATCGTGAATGGATCGGGATTATCGGCAAAGGCCTTTAAGAAGCCGACTTTGTTCTTTTGTCGATAGACTCGCAGGATAAAGGCCTCGAGAGACGTGGCGACGATGCGATCTGCGTGCAGCACGATCAAGCCGGTGATGGTCTCTGGGCTCAGCAGCGCCGTCAACAAGTCGACCACTAGAATTCGTGACGTGATGCTGAATATGCCACCAGCGGCATACATCTTTTCGCGGGCGCCGACGCTCTGAAAGTCGGTGTTTACAACCGTGAGACCGCGGGCCTTGGGCGACGCGCTGATGGCGGCGTGTTCGGCCAGAGCCTCGCCAATCCAGCCATTCTCGCGGTCCTCTGCACCTACAATGACAATGAGGTTGTTTCCGGCCGCGTCGTACGAGTGCAGTAGGTTGGTGACGAGGCGCATGAGGCCGAGGCCGCGGGCGAGCACGACGAGTTCATCTTCGGAACGGAGCTCCTGGAAGAGCGCCTGCTGGTATTCCTGGGACCAATCAGTGCTGCTGGAGCTGGAGAACAGGTTGTAAATGGACAAACCAGGGGCAGTGAGAGCTTCACTGGTTGGGGCGCATTGTTTGTCGACATTCGGCGCGGTGCGTTTGGAGTGATGGCATGTCGAAGCTTGATGACGATTTTGAGAGATGGAAGCTTTGGGAGATTTTTTAGCGAATGCTTCAGCGTGTTTAGTGCATCCTAGAGGCCAAGTTGGCGGTCTTGGTGGATGCTTTAGTGGATGAGCCGCTATAACTTGACTAAATGCTACCCCGCCGTGAATTGATAGGTAGGCACAAGCCGCACCCCGCACTTCACGATCCGATGAGAGACATTTAGATGTAATGCATGCATCTCAAAAGCAGTAAAATTGGCATTCAAAGTGAAAGAAGCGTAAAGTTCATTTTCATTAAAGCTCATATATTTATATAGTGCCGCGTGGGACATGTTCAGCGATGCGTCGGCATCGTCGTGTCTCGTGAGTCGTTTGGGCCGTATCGTGACATCATCGCCGTCGCAGGACAGCACTCTACTTGTTGAGTTCGGTCTTGCGGGCATCGCGATCCTCCCTGCTGCCCTCTTGTTCGGGGACGTTTTTGACAATGGCAGGGCCGTGGGCCTTGTGGGCTGCGAGTTCGGGCTCGACCTTGTCCTTGATGGGCTGGATGGAGAATTGCTTCTCGCCCTGGCCTTGTTGTTAGTGAACGATGATGCAGAGGAGACAAGACGAGAGGGGAATCCGTCGTACCTCGTTCTTCTTTTGGTCCTTGGAAGAGTCCATGATGTGTGCTGAGATGGGTTTCAGAGTTGAATTGAATTGCGACGTGTGTTGTAGAGATGAAGTTGGGAGCGAGGTGTCAGTGTAGAGTCTAAATAGAACCACTACATTGAGAGGGGCATAGCAGCAGCGTTTGAGATGGCCAAGATGACGTTGACTTTTGCCGCAGAACCAAGCTAGTCGTCTCCGCTGAGCAAGCTTTTTGTTCAATGGAGTCAACGAGTGCCACCACCAGCTGGCCAGTTTTCGTCAGCTACCACACGGCCAATCGTCTCGTCGAATCTGGTTCGCTCACAAGGCAGTCTGTGGGCAACGCTCTGATGTCATTTGCGCCGCTGCCCTGGGCTAGGCTGCCGGCATGATTGATGATGGGCATGACTTGCAGCTGCATATTCGTTTTCCTAAACGGGTATTCCCATGTCGCCTTCCATTGTTTCCTTTTCCTGCGAGTGCCGCAGCCCGTCACTTAACCGAGTTCATCTGTCGTGTTCTTGAACAAGAGGTGAATCTAGGTTGTCGCTTGACCGTTCAAGGTTACGTGCATGCCACATTGTTTCAAGTGATGCTTGACTGTTGGTAGGGCTGCGTCGTCTCCCTATGGCGTCACCATGCAACCCAACCTGCGCCAATTCGCCCCTCGCTACGCTGCTACAGTAGGGCTGATGGATTCAAACGGACAAGTCGCTGCTATTCGAGGCGTTCCTCGAGCGTGGCTCAGTATGAGTGATGAAAGTCTATTTGGCCGACCGTGGTCGCAGCTCATCGTGGTTCGACTGCGACCAGCGTTTACTTGAACATGTCGTCGATTCTAACGCGTGTCCACTGGGCCAGGGCTCCCGGTGCGAAATCGCTTCCATCAGACAATTACGCATCAGATTCACAGCTGACTCACTCGACACGCACATTCACGCGCATACACGCACAACTTGCGCAAAATGAGCCAATATTGAACGCGTGGCTGTAGGGCCGGCCAATCAGGCTCCAACGCCATCTCAGCCGCATCTGCGGTATCCGCTCGTCTCGAAATATCGTCAATAACTACTCCGTAAACGTCTTACTACTTCACCATTACACTCCACCAAGTAAGACTGGGGCCGCGAATACAGCAGACGAATCACCATCGAATCAGGCAAAGCGTTGCAAATAATGTGATGCCCATCAGGCTGTGTTGCGGAGCCCGTCTTCGTGGCCCGGAGCCCGGCCAAGTACGGAGTAATAAAATACCCAAAGCCAAGCCGAGCGTTCCTCTTTGCTTGGCTCTTGGTTCCCAAGTCACTACCAGATTACTGAACTGAAATGTCAATTGCAAAGCAAACATGGAGTCTTGCGATACCCAGTTTGGCCCTCGAGTCGACACAGTCTGTCGGTCATTCGACTTTACGCTTTATTTCGAAGATGCCATCTTAAGCGCAGTCGCTAGTGCCATCTTCATCTCGATTGCCATGGTCCCATTGATCAGACTTTTGCGCCAGCCAAATATTGTCAAAAGCTCTTACCTGCTTGGCTTGAAATTGGTACTATACCACACTTAACCACCCACTCTACTACAGTGGCTTACACCGCGCCAGGTCGTTTTTTTCATCCTGATCGTCCTTCAAGCCGTTTTTCTAGGACTGCGAGTCAACAGCAAAAACTTGCATACCAGTGCTTCAATTGCCGCCGACGTATTGTCATTGGTAGCCACAGGCGCCGCAATCGCCCTGTCATGGCTACAGCACCATCGATCCGAGCAGCCGTCCACCACTCTGACTCTTTACTTGTCTGCACTTGTGCTGCTAGACATCGCCCGAGTCCGTACTTTGTGGTTGCTCCCCAACACCTCGGCTGCATCTTCCGTGAAAACGGTCGCTTTGCTACTTACGGCTGCGACCCTGGTGCTTGAGTCGACTGGCAAGAGGGCCAGCCTGCGTCAGCCGGAAAAGCTTGCACATTCTGGCCCGGAACCTTTCATCGGATTCTGGAGCATAACTGGTTATGTCTGGGTATTGGGAACCCTTACTCGTGGCTACCGCAATTTTCTCTCCGTCGAGGACCTGCCCGAGCTCGACTACCGCATCTCGGCAGACAAGCTACACCACAAGCTACAAAGTCACTTGAGAAACGGTTTGTGGTCGTCTTTACATACCAATATAGGGTAAAAAAAAAAAATTCTAATGTGTAGTAGCCCACCTTTTCAAGAAGAATGCGTTTGTCGCAGCTTGCGCTCGCGCTTTTGCCTCGTCCTTCATATTGGCTGTTATCCCCCGCCTCTTGTTGGTCGGATTCAGATTTGCCCAGCCCTTTATGATTACAAACATGCTACAATTCATCGGCGACAGAAGCGCACCGCAAAACATTGGCAACGCGCTGATTGGCGCATATGCTCTCGTGTACGCCGGCATGACTGCAAGTAGCACCAACGCCACCGTATTTTGTTCGTATCGCAAACTAACCCTCTTCAGATTTCCATGGCCTTGTATCGCTACTACTCAAACAGATTCATCATTGCACTTCGTGGCGGCTTAATCTCTGTCATTTATCAGCACACGGTTGAGGCACATGGCCTTGATCTTGGTGATATCGACGGCCTGACCCTCATGGGCGCTGATGTAGAGCGCATCTCGACTGGCTTTCGGACAATTCACGAGATATGGGCGTCGCCCATTGAGATCATCATCGCCGTCTATCTGCTTCAAAGACAAATTTCCGTTGCCTGCGTTGTGCCAGGTCTTCTCGTTCTTGGTAAGTTTAGGACGTTGATTGTCATATCAAGGTTTTTAGAACAGTCTTCTAACACCCAACTTTGTAGCCTTTGTCTTATTGACCTTTGTTGTTGCTTCTCTCGCCAAAAAATACCAGAGAGCATGGATTGAAAAGGTTGAAGAGCGACTGCGCCTCACTACAAACATGCTCGCCAACATGAGGGCTGTCAAGATGCTCGGCCTCAGTCCTAGAATGTTTTCCGTCCTCTACAAAGCGCGAGACGTGGAGATTGAGACTTCCACGCGCTATCGATGGACATTGATTGGACAAATTTTCTTTTGTGAGTACTTCAACTGCGTCTTTGACTTTTTCGCTCCCTCTTTACTTACCTCTATAGCTAATGCGCCATTGATGTTTGCGCCCGTTGTCACATTCATCGTCTTTGTCGCAATAGCCAACGCCCGTCACAACAACTCATTTCTAGCTGGCAAGGCATTCACGTCCTTGTCACTCATTTCACTTTTGACAGAGCCTACCTTTCTGTTGATCCAAGCTATTCCCAGCGTATACGAATGTCTCAGCAGCTTCGACCGAATGCAAGAATTCTATCGACAGCCCATTCATCCCGGGCTGCTAACCAAAACAGGCGATGCACCTAGTACAGAAGAAAAAGAATCGAATACTTCTCAGGATCAGCCTGTTGTAAGATTTGTGGACCAGGATTTTGCCTGGACTGACACTAGTCCGGCCGTGCTCAGGAATCTCAATGCCTCTATTCGCAAAGGACGCTTCACAGCCATCGTGGGCCGTACTGGCAGTGGAAAATCGACCTTGCTTGAGAGCATACTCGCAGAGACCGCCGACCTTGGTGGATGTACGGAACGCAGGTTTGCCTCTGCGGCCTATTGCTCCCAGGTTCCGTGGCTGGTAAACGGCACCCTAAAGAGCAACATCACCTATGGCTCCTCGGCCCCAGCTGACGAGGAATGGTATCAAACTGTGCTGGTAGCCTGCGGGCTCGAGAATGACATCCAAAACCTAGCGGCTGGTGACCTGACAGAAATTGGTGACAGCGGCAGCAAGCTAAGCGGCGGCCAGAAGCAGCGAGTAAGCCTCGCACGCGCCGTATACTCACGACAGCAAGTCATCTTGCTCGACGACGTCTTTAGCGGCCTGGACAATGCCAACATTGCCCACATCTCGGAGATGCTCTTTGGCTCAGAGGGACTCTTGCGTAGGAGTGGATCGACCATCATCCTCGTCACTCACTCCAAGTATGTCATGATGATGGCTGACGACGTCTTGGTTGTTGACCAGGGTACCATCGTGGAATCGCGGAGCGTGGCATCGCTGCAGTCCAGCAACGGCTTCTCGTCTGGATACCAGATTGAAGAGTCCCCTGTTGATACTGATGCAGATAGTCAAGAAGATGGGCCCAGCAGCAAAAAGATGCCAAAAGACGGCTCACAAGAGACGGCCGAGCTTTCTGCACTCAACGAGGAGGCTGCAGACCTCAAACGCGCACACGGAGTGCCTTCTGTCTACCGCTATTACATGCACTCATCCGGATACCTCAAGGTGATTCTCATGCTTTCCGGCGCCGCCTTGTACATATTCTGCAATGAATTTGGCATCGTCTGGATTGATCTCTGGTCATCCGCCAACTCCAACCATCCCGGCCACGCCAAAAACGGCATGTACCTTGGCGTCTACGCTGCCTTGGGAGCCATTTCCAGCGCTCTTCTCTTGTTTCTCTGCTGGCTGGTTTTTATCAACATAATCTCCGTGTCCTCGCGGAACCTGCACACGGATCTCTTAAACGCCGTCATCCGCGCTCCGCTGCTCTTCTTCCAGGAGACCGACGCCGGCAACATTACGAACCGTTTCAGTCAGGACATGGAGCTCATCGGCATCGAGCTTCCCGTTATCATCGTCAATTACCTGGCCGCTCTCTTCGAGTGTATCGCCAAAATGCTCCTCTTGGCCGTATTTGGACGCTACCTGACGGCGTCGCTGCCGATTTTTCTCGCTGCCATTTATATCATCCAGCGCATCTACCTCCGCACATCACGCCAGGTCCGGCTGCTCGACACTGAAGCCAAGGCACCCGTCTATCTGCAGTTTCTCGAGTCCAAGAATGGGGCGGCCACACTGCGTGCGTTTGGATGGCAGCATTCGTGCCAGTTGGCCCTGCAGAGACTGCTCAATCGCTCCCAGAGGCCAGTGTATCTGCTCTACTGCATACAGCAATGGCTCGCACTAGTCTTGGATGCTCTTGTATCTGCTTTGGTCCTGATATTGATTGCCATCGTGGTCACCTGGCGAGACAAGTTTTCCCAGGGGAGCGTCGGTGTGTCTCTGGTCACCGTAATGACTTTCAACTCTTCGTTGACGCAGCTGATTAAAATGTGGACTTCACTCGAAACCTCGATTGGTGCCGTTGGCCGCATCAAGGAGTTCAAAGACTACACTGTGCCCGAGGAGGAAGAGCTAGGCATATTGCAGCCACAGAGCCCTCCGCCAAACTGGCCCGTAAAAGGCAATATCGAGTTTCGAAACGTGGTCGCCTCGTACAAGTAAGAAACACCTTGACATTTAGACATTTCAACCGGCTAACATGTGTATAGGGAAGTTGGGCCGCCCGTTCTCAAAGGTCTAACGCTGTCGATCAAGGCTGGCGAAAAGGTCGCCATCTGCGGCCACTCTGGCAGTGGCAAGACGTCGCTCATTCTAAGTCTGCTACACATGATTCACATTAAAGGTGAAGTCATGATAGACAATGTCGATATCCACAACTTGGTGCCAAATGAGCTGCGTGCTCTCATCAATATTGTGCCCCAAGAGCCTTTCTTAATGCCCGGCTCAGTACGCCAGAATGTCGACCCATTCCAAGTCGCAGAAGATGTCGCCATCATGGCGGCTCTCAAGCGTCTCGGTCTTTGGAATCGCATCGAAGCAGCTGGCGGTATCGGTGCCGACATGCCCCTTGCTTCCTGGTCCGTCGGTGAACGGCAGTTGATTTGCATGGCCAGAGCCATGGTGAGGAAGAGCCCAATTCTAATCCTCGACGAAGCTACAAGCAGGTACGTTTGTGCGGCTTTTCTTCTTTTTTTTTCTTTTTTTTTGATTTATTGTAGCGATGAAAAAAAAAACCTTGCTAACAAGATGGCAGCGTCGACCACAAGACGGAGGAAATCATGCAACAAGTACTAGAGACTGAATTTGCAGACAAAACTGTGCTTTCAGTGGTGCATAGGCTAGGGTATATTGAGCGGTATGACAAGGTTGCAGTCCTGCAAAAGGGGGAATTGATGGAGTTTTATGCGCCAGGAACACTGCTTGCTCAGCCGTTGACGTTGCTGGCGGCGATGAAGAAGGCGGGAACACGAGGATAATGCATATTGGTCATGTTGCCGATTGCGGTGCTATAGTGACGTCTGAATATTAAACTATATTAGTATTGATCGAGCGGAGATCAATATTAAGCATCTGTTATTGATGAATTTTGGTAGTTGCTGAGCCGCGCCACGTCTTGTATGACCGGCATATTCGCCTTGAGCCAAGCCTGCGCATGCATCTTGCATAATCAACTGTGGCACCAAGAGTGCGCTTGAGGGGTTGGGGGGTCCCTGGAAGTCACGCCAAGTCCAAGTGACAGTTTCAGATCAGTGATGACAGATTATAAAGGAGATCGGATGACTTGGCAGGCATAGCTATTTTAGGCACACAGAGATGGCGCCGAGTCAAGACCAGGGCAGACGGCATTGCGAGTAGTGGCAAAACCAATAATGTGTAAAATTAAAAAGTAAAGCATGCAAAGCCTGCTACCTAGAATTCTGAGAGCTTCGGTACGGCCATATTACATGTTCAATTCCGCCTTGCATGCAGAGGTATCATAGAGAAGCTCATGAGCGCGTGTAAGAGGTATCAAATCGAAGCATCGACGAGAAAATAGCGGTCAGCCGACAAGAAGATTAAAGTGGCCGTCAACGCCGAGGAAGAGTAGACAATAGAGAGGATGGCGCGCGCGAGTTCGGATGGGGCCGATAAGAGTCCAATGGCGACAACAAAAGTCGACAGCGACAATTCAAGCCCCAAAAGCGACAATAAAGTAAAAGTAATCTTGCTATACATGACTCGTCCCTACTTTCCGCCGCCCGCCGCATTTTCCGCAGGTCAGGCAGCTAATGATGATGGCGAAAAAGGCGAGGATGGCATCGAGAATGGCCTTGCAGATGGAAATGACGCCGTGCACAATGGCCATGATGCAGCCAGCAATGGCATTAAATATCGATTGGATCTAAAAAAAAGGCAAAAACCGAAAAGAAACTTCATTAGCACCAAGGGGTAAATAAAAACAAGCGTACGCGCCAGCCCAAAACTAGGAAATTAGCTTTGGAGCGGGAAAGAGCCACTTACACAAGAAATAACGGCTCCCATGGTGACGGTTTTGGTAAAGTTTGGTTGTTTTGTGGGCAAAAAGTGGTTGTGAAGAAGGGATTGGGGGTTGGAAGAGAGAGAAAAGGTCGCGACAAACACGAGAAAGCGGTGTTGTTATGATTTTAATATTAGACAAAGGAAAAAAGGTAGCTGCGAGTGTCGATATCCTGACGTCACGATTCGCAAACGCCTCGTCTTATGATACACGAGAAATTTGACCAGGGGGGGTGCCCAAATGATCGGCAACGGCCCAATGGCCCTTCAATGAACGGCATTCAAAACACGTGCTTCTCTTTTGTAAGTATGGTGGCAAAAATTTTATACATTGTGCATGGGCCGAATATTATACAGTTATTTTATGTCAACGTGTCGGAGCTGAGTGTTTATACAATGTGTATACGAGGGCAGCCAAAAATATTATACAGAGTCCATGTGTCAACAACTCGGAGCTGAGTGTATGTAAAAGAAGAATTTCCTCCCCAAATTAATAGTAATCCATGATTCGTCTCTTTGTGTCCAGAAATTGCAAACGCCATCTATATGCCGTACAGAGATTGTCGCCCCCTTTCTCCCAAATCAACATGATGATAGTACAAAGAGTTGCGGTAGTGAGCAATTCGCCTTCACCAGAACCACGACCTTTTCTTCGGCGCCGCTTTCTGCGAGTGCAACCTGCGCAGCATCTCGCGGTTCCTCGAGTCCAGCAGGCCCATGGCGCCCTCGTCCTGGTAGTGCGGGTAGCCGCGCGGCAGGCCTGGCAGGCGCTCGTTGCTCATCATCTTGATGCGCTGCACGCGCCGCAGCTTGACCAGCCCGTACCAGCACACAATGAGCGAGGCGACAGTCGACGTCACCGTCACGGCCGAGAAGCCCCAGTTCGTGTCCTCGATAAAGTTCTCCAGGTTCATGCCGTACAGGCCCGCGAGAAAGGTGCCCATCGCGAGACCGAGCGTGCCGACGCTAAACTTGAGTTCGAGCAGCATGAGCGAGTTGCGGTTGGCGTCGAGGATGGCGCGGACGCTGCGTCTGGTCAGCATGGTTGCTCTTGCAAGTATTAATCACGAGAAACGTACATTTCTTCCGTGTTTCGAATGCCAGAGACGAGATTGCCCGCCTCTTGGACAATTTCGTCCGCAATTTTATGATATGACTCCAAAAGCATCTCCACTTCAGTATGGTCATCGGCCGCTCTCACCGACTCGGCCTTCTTTTCCGACAAGTACATGTCTCCCAAATCATCGTCCGCTTCCAACAGCTCCTCGATTGCATCTCGGACCAGCTTGGCCTTTTGCTCAAACGTGCTGATGCGCTTGGACAAAATCAGCAGAACACGTAGCTTTTGCCGATCAATGTCATCTTCGAGCTCGCTGAGGATATGCATGACAGGCTCGCGCACCGCCTCAAAGTCAGCCTCCATCTCCGACGTGACCGACGTCAGCACCGCTTCCAATGCGCGGAACTCGTACGGCAGGCCAGGCGACCCGGTAGGGTTCTTTTGCTGCAGCTTGCCTTGCAGGTCGTACATGAATGCTGACTGCGGATACGACGTCTTGGAGCCGTAAATGTCAAACAGCAGCACGCGGTCGCTCTTGATGAGCACCTTGAGATGCAGCAGGTTGAGCAGGATCGCTTCAGGGCGGATGAGTATATGCGGCAAATTCGACGAGTCAATCTTTCGCAAGTCTCGCGGCAACAAACCGTACTGATTTTCGTTAGCATAATCTATAACAGAGGTTCTCTCTTCGCAGCGTCTTGCGTACCTTGGCAATGAGCTCCGACTTTTTAAACTCGCCGTCGACGAGAATCACTTGTCCATGCTCGTCCACCTCTGTGCAGCGCAGTCGCGGCTCCGCTGCCGCCTTGGCCGTCATGACCCGGCGGCTGTTGAACATGGATCCGTGCTCGAGTTCTTCGTGGCCAGGGAGGTCGTCGGGCTTGAGCGGCTTGAAGCCGCGCCGCGCCGCCATGCCCCAGAGCCTCTCCTGCCACGAGCTGGTAGGGTCGCTGGCGGCGCGACCATCCTTGCCGGGGGTCTTTCGTCCGCTCAATTTAGTCGTCGAGTTGATCTGCCGACACTGCTGCTGCTGCTGCTGCTGTGGTTGGGGGCGCGGGGACTCGCCGAAAGGCCACAGTGACGCCTGGAGTGCGACGGGCTGTGACGACATTGTCAGCTCGGACGATGCTGCGCACAACTGTGTGTCTGTATTATATAGTCGAACGCGGTTGCAGACGCGGGCGCCGCTCGCCTTGGTGCATCGGACATGGCTCGGGGTGAAAAAGGCCGTCTCGGACTGCGTGCGCAGGAAGCGCAGGAGAGTGCGCGACGGCACAGGGGATCGCATGGCGCGATCAGTTGGTACGCTACTGTGCTGCAGCGGCCGCGCAATGTAATGAGATTGACTTCATAGAGACTGCCGATAGGCAACGGAAAGGAAGCTCGAGATTGCTCGCCTGGCTGACCAAACGACGGGAGGCAGATGGAGATGTCGTCGGCGTTCGATTGCTCATTAACTTTTTTGGCAACCAAAAATTATGGCGCGTGCACGGACCACCCTGATCTCCAATACGCCACTGCAGCTTCTTCATCTTGCAATTCTCAGCGATTTCTTTCTTGCAAAAGTCATGATGTAAATTTTTTTCATCTATTCATTCATGATAATAATTACACTTTCCTTGCTTGGATACCGAAATTTCTACAACCCTTGAGTGTAAAATACTCTTAATTCGGCGACGATGCTGCCTTGACACATCGCCACATCAATAGCATCGACCAACTCTAGGTCACTTTGTCGCAGATGCATGCATGACCACCTCGGTTTTTTCTGCACCTTTGTTCTACGTCAGCCTCGTCCCGGGGGTCTTTCTGGCCATGCCGCCCACGCCCATCCGCATTAGGGGCAAACGCAAGGCATCCTCCGCTGTCATTAGCGCCCCGTCCACGACGACGACGACGACGACGACGACGACGACGATGACGACGCGGCCCTCAAAGATGCTGCGCTCCATCCAGGACGTCAAGTATACGCGGCAGCTGCAGCCGCGTAGCAGCCTCGACCGGCTACCCGCCGAGATCCTCGAGAGCATCTTACTCTACAGCGGGAGCGTGGCGCTGCCCCGCGCCAGCCCCATCATCGGCGCCAAGCTGTCGTCGCGGGTGACGCTGCTGCGCTTCTTCATCTGGGGCTTCCACGACACGTGGGACCAGTGGTTCGGGATTCCCTTTGACAAGGTCCTCGAGGGGCCGCGGGCGGAGGACGAGGGGAAAGGGTGTCGGACGCCGCAGGAAGCGAAATACTTTCCTTGCGATGGCGACCCAGAGCTTCAGGTACGGCGTTTGTCTTTTTTCTCTGATTTTCCCTCATCTCTCCGTTTCGCTCGTCAGTCACTAATCATCTTTCCCGCAGAGCGCCCTTCTTGAGCTCCCTTGGGCCGACATTGACTTTATCCTCCACGCTCAGCAGACGTGGGCAGACACCTACGCCCGACACCGCTGGTACGAGCCGCCGTTTCGCGTCTATCACGACAAGTACGGCGCCTTTGACGCCGCCTCTTCCTTCAACTGCATCTGGCGTCATTTTTGCCGAACCCGCATCGGCCCGCATCGCACCATCGTGCGCAATGTGCATCCCAACGTCCGCCTGCCGCTGCCGCTCGTTACCGGGCCGTGGGACGCGGAGCGCACCAAGCGCCTGTTCTGGCTCGTCCTCGGGGGCGTCAACCTCGAGGCGCGGGATAGCGCAACACGCAGCCTCCCGTGGGAGTACCACCTCGATTTCCTGCGCAATGCCGTTGTGCGCACCGAGACGCCAAATGAAGCTGCGTACCGGCTGCTCCGAGATCAGTGCGATTTGATGCGGGTGCCGCCGGATCTACTGCGGAGTGAGCGCGACGCCCTGATGAAGAGGTTGCAGCAGGTAGGCGAGACTGAACCGAAGGTAGTTGAGTTGCTGCAGGATGCGCTCGAGGACATTAATTACAAGCTCGACCTGCGCTCATCCAGGAGTCATAAGTAGCTGCGGCGGCAAGTCATTTTCATCGAGATATAGACATGGTAATCACGGACATGAATCAATGAACACATAGCCGAGGTACTAGATAGACAACTAGTCTAGTTTGGGTAAATGAATAATCATCCATGAAGATAGCACATGGATAAACGATGCAGGGAATCGAAATATAGACGTGGTAATCACAGACATGCATTAATGCACACAGAGAGCCGATATAGGAAAACAGATAGATTTGGTCTACTAGCGCCTAGGCAAGACTTTCCCTAAACGTGCCTCTTAATTGAGACAAGTTTTAAATACAGGCTAGGGATAACGTACGGCATTGAAAGACGCGAGTTCAGTAGACCATGAAGAAGAAGAAGAGACGGGGGCCACCCCAGAGTAAATCCAAAATACCAAAAAAAAAGATGCTTTCTATCATGAGATCAGACACACAAATTAAAAATGACTATGAAACCCAATTTTTCCTTACCCTTGTTGCTGCGTTTCTTTACAAAAGGAAGATCTGGGCAGCGACGAGCGCAACCAGACCGGCGGCCACAGACGAGGCACCACCCGTCACAACGGGAATGGAGGGCTTGACGACGGAAGCCGAGGGAACGCTGGTGCCGCTGGGAGGGCAGTCGGCGCCGGAGCACTTGTTGTGCTCGGCAGAAGGAGCAGGGCAGTCGGGACCGCCGGGGCACTGGCTGCCACTGGGACGCACGGGAACGACGGTGAGAGTGGTCTCGGGGATCGCGGACATGGTCTTGACAATGGTCTTGTTCATGGTGGTAGTCGCGGCAGGGGACTCGGCGGGCTTGTTGCCAGAGGGCTTGTTGCCAGAGGGCTGCTCACCACCAGCGGGCTTGTTGCCAGAGGGCTGCTCACCAGTGGGCTTGTTGCCAGAGGGCTTGTTGCCAGAGGGCTGCTCACCACCAGTGGGCTTGTCGCCAGAGGGCTGCTCACCACCAGTAGGCTTCCAGGGCTTGTCGCCAGAGGGCTCACCACCAGGAGGCTTACCAGCGGGATGGGTCGGCTGAGGAACATCAGCGACGGGGCAGACAGTCGTCGACACGAACTTGGTCTCAGTCGTGACATGGCCAACGGGGCAGTTGGGGACGCTAGGCGGGCAACG